TATGGTGGGTCACCCAATCACAAAACTTTCATTCTGTAAATAATAAGCCATGCAAAAGTATATAAACTCAGGGTAATAATGAGTTTTGCATGCATCAACTTACAGAGTACAAGCATTGCAAAAAAACACATTGTGAAGTTCCAAAATCTCACTTCATTCTATATCTTGAGTTTCAAAAAATGACAATCAAAAATTGATGTATTACATGTCAAAACAATCAAAAATGCCAAGAATAATAACCATATAGTCAAAGGGATACAACATATTTCAACCTAGAGAGTGATATTAGACACCATCACTCCTTGGGAAGACAAAGAACACCAAAAAAATCATATAAAAGAAAAAAATAATTCTTGAAACTAATAACTAAGTTACCAGAACCTACACACCTCACACTCAAGTATCAAGAGTGAGAACATCAGATCAAAAATACAAATTCAAAAAAGAAACAAAGTCAACCAGGGTGTTCTTCTAAGATTGACCTGTTGACTACTAGGATTCAACTTAAATTAAGAATAACTACAGATCAGGCAAAACATCCAGTAAAAAACCCTTAATAAAACATAACCTCCGTACCAACCAGGTAAGATATGCTTGAACCCTAACCAAGTACCAAGTTTCAATCATAAGTTAAATACAATTCAATCCTGTTCATATCACTTAAACTAGTTAGTCAAACAAGCTAACTCACACTCAAGATCTCCAGTATAAATACCAAGAAGGCTTCCCACCAATTGAAGAAGAAGAATCTTATAACCACACTAGAACATTTCCATCAGAATGGAATGGGACTGGGCTTCTGGGCTGATCAGCAGCATGGTTTACGCTTGACTGCCCGAAGGCGGAATGTCTTTTATTAGCGTGCAAGATAAAGCAGAAACGCATAATAAAAAACTGAAACAGAGAAAAGAAAAACTGGTTGGAAACCTGACACGTAGAAAACATAGGAGACACAAGAGTTCTGTGGGTGGTACTATTTTTAGGTAAGGCTTACAACTTTTTTGAGAAACATTTTAGCTTGACTACTGAAGGCAAAAGAAAAAATTGTTGGTTTTTAGGTTATTTTTGTATTTTCTTCCCAGTTTGGGTGGGAGGGAGGTAACAAAACTTTTTTAGATTTTTTGTAAAAAAGAAACTGAAAGATAACTAATAGAGAAGAAAAATGTCGAACCGGTGATTGATGAAGAACGCGGGACAAAAATAAATTTTATAGTGGTAAAAAAATTTGTTTCAGAGATGGGACAAACATCCACTTGCAGAGAAGATGGGAATATAAGGAAATTCAATATTTTGTCTTTTGCATCTTATTGTCCATCCTTGTCTGGCACATGAGACGAAATTCATCTACGCCATAAAGGAATGGACGTTAAGATTCAACACGTGTGCTTCCTGTACCCGGTCCACCATTTTTGTCCCATTCCCCTTTGTCAATACGCGTACCAACACCGATCAGAAAGATTATCAAACCTTCAACATAACCACCAGCCAAAAATCCTTTTTAAACAGAACTTATCCACAGATAACTTCTAGTTTCTTTGCTTATTGTTGTTTCTATCAAAAGCTCAATATCACCTTTCTCTTTTCTATTGGCATATTTTAAAAGTTTTGAGCTAAAGTTAAAAGGACACAACTTATCAACCAATTCATTACTGTCAAACAATATTCCTAGACTTGTATCCTAAATCTAAGAGATCAGTTTTCTTACTTTTAGTACAATAGAATTTAGACCTCTCTGGGTTAACCCCTCTGGCAAAGTCCGAGTTGATTGGTTTGAAATATCTCAGCAGATATTTGACAATGATAAGTGAGAATCATAAAGCTGAAGAAGGGATAATTATAACCATAGGCACAAAAGCAGATAAATTATGTGTAAGCTGTAAGGAGGTGTTGATGATATAGACCATAAGACAAAGGCCTTCTAGCAAAATTATACTTTAAATTGATGATAAAATAAAAAAGTATGAATAAATTAGACAAGGCAGACATATAAGAGAAAATTTGACTATGATGTGATTTACAATGACTTGATGGTAAACAGCTTCAGGCTAAATGTGGCATATCTTTATGAAGAAAATTTCACAAGAATGATGATCATACTTGCCAAACTCTTCATCCTTTGTTTTGAGAAATTACATGAGCGGGAAGGTGTCAGTGGTTTAGCGTGCATACCACAGGCTGACCCCAATTTTACTTTTCTTGATAGGATTCTCTAATGAGAGAGTAGTTGTATGGATATTTAGTATGAATATTTAGTATTGAAACAATTGGTCCTTGGTCGTCCACTGTGAAGCCTGGAGAAAAACCGGTCGTCAGTGAGACGAAGGCAAAGATAATCCAAAGTAATCGAAGCACATGTTGGTAAATCTTTGGGTTGATTGTGATTCATTTTCACCCAATTATAATCGACATATAATAATCGTGCGACAATTGGGTGAAGGTGTTTTGTTTTAAGATGACCAACACCGTTTCTTCCTCGATAGGAGGGAACTTTATTCATCCTTCAATGCGAAGGGAAGTCTTGCAACGGTCTCCGTGTATTAGACGTTGACACACCGTGTGAAAACGGGTGTGATTGACTCCTTGCGGAACTATTGAAGTTCAGTACAGTGTTCAAACCGATTTTAGGTAATTGGTGTTCAAACTGTTGAGCAAGTGGTTGACACACTGTATGCGCTCAACCCGGTTGCAAGGTCCAGAGCACTTCAAAAGATGCGCATGGACTAGGGCTATCAAATGAGCCTACTCCCAGCCCCTCAACTCCCCTCACTTTCGCGCAAAATCGATTGGCGCAATTTTTTTTCGTGCCTCCAAGGCCTGATTCCGACGTTCGATTTTAAGGCTCTTTTTGACCGTTACATCCCATTATCTCAGGAAGTATTGGTGCTATGAGGTTGAAAGCTAGCTTAAACGAAAGCCTTTAATGTCACGCACATTTTGCACTACTGTAGGTGCTGTGAATGTGTCGTTTAGTGCCCTCAAAACCCGCCAACAAAACGTCGGAATTTACATCAGATACCTCTGTAGGCGCATTCCTGAGTCCTAGTTCAGTACAGTGTTCAAACCGATTTTAGGTAATTGGTGTTCAAACTGTTGAGCAAGTGGTTGACACACTGTATGCGCTCAACCCGGTTGCAAAACAGTTTGCGTACTCGGGGCCAAACAGTTTGGCGTCTGCTTGCAAACCAGGGTAACCAGGGTCTGTTTAAAGGCGCTCCGTGGTGTATGTATGTACATTTGTATCGCTCGCGATTATGCGATTCAAAGGATTGTATCGCACATCATCAAGACGGACAAATCTTGGAATTGCTCAATTTTGATGCCATTCAAAGTATTGTATTGCTCAGGGATTTTTATCGCATGGTCCCATGAGGGATGTTGAGTCGCATCAGGTTTGAATCGGTGAATTTGCCTTGCGATTCATCATCGCAACTCCCTCTTATCGCTTCCAGTCTTGCGACTTGAAATCGCAAGATATATTTAATCGCTTCAACATCATGCAATATAAAATCGCATGTTCATCATATCGCATTGGATAGATGCAATTCTCTATCGCCGGTACAATGGCTGTGTGTACTGGCATACACACATGTGAAGTAAAAATGTTGGCGGTGGTATTGATATTGTAACACATGTGAATCATTTTTGTCCCCAAGCATCCCTGGATAATCTTCATGACTGCCAATGGGAGTATTACCAAATACTCCTCATGGCTGACAGTGAGTCATCCCTTGCAATCCATAATCTGAACTAGATCCTTCAGACACTATACCCTTTGTCCAAGTCATCAAGTTTTGATGGGTGACTGGGGTTAAGATCATAATTATGAGGAGGAACATCCAGATTGAAGAAGAAGAAGAAGAAATAGATTTGGAATTGACATGATAAATCTAGGTTTTATTGAGAGCACAGAAATATTGAGTCTGTTTGCTTTGAATGAATAGTGGATGTAGTGTTGAATTGGGAGAATAATAAATTATGTTACCCAACACATCGCTTTGCTCATTTTCTTAATCCCCGCAAGATCTTACTGCACAAGTCCAAACAGCTCCTACAAAAGATATCCTCCTCACTGGAACAAACTCTTGAATTCAGGATTGATTATCTGAATTTGATTAGGTAAGAATTTGCTGACACAAGTCAAAAGTCTTGTGATCATGATGAATCCCGATTGAACTCTCAACCAACCCCTTTGATTTGAGACTCCTAACTTATGACATTCAAACTGGAAGATGAGTGTATGCAGAATTTGTGCAAGACCAACATGGAGGATAACTTGCAAGATATTTTCTTGTTTGTCTATCACAAGAGATCAAAAGCTTGTACAATGCTCTTTCTGACAAACCCAGTAAACTGTTTCTCTTGTCCAAAATTCAACAAACACTATTGTTACAATCAGACGGCTGTGTTCTTTTAATCCAGGTGGGCTCATCTCCATCCATGATCACTAGTTCATATGCTTTATGCAACAAACAATTTAAACCTTTTCATAATTAACTGATCCTACCAAGGCAAAGCACAGCTATAGTGCAACATGTGGTCAGGGAGGTCGCTTGGATCTTGTGTCTCACACGGCTCTTGCAAATTAGTTTTGAGTTTTGTTTACCATAAGTGCAGGTCATCATCATTGCTGCAAGTATGTTGGGAGATTTGACACCTTCAGTCCCTTCTATATATGAAGCTGAGCATCAAACACAATAGTATTGAATAGAAAGAATTGAGATTGAATGGATGAGAGCAACTGACATTTGCTACTGAATGACTCTGCACTACATATATTTCTTCAAAAAGAGCTGGGTTGTAAATATCTAAAGCTCCATACAAGTACAGTTCATCTTTGAGTGGTTCTGAGTGGATCCTTTCAGATGTTGGGACAATGGGCATGTGCCAATTACAATCCACTTCAGCCTTGGGAAGAGATCTTAGATATTGAGAATTGGATGATATGGCGATCTGAAGTACAATCAGAAACACTTTATCAGATGCTTTATGCGACATATGTAAAGGGGACCTCGCAAGATAAAACCTATTGGTGATTTGAGCCAGTGGACTGTGCACAATTCTCAAGATGACATAGAAGATGATTCTGGAATCGAGCAATCAACTAAAGCCAAGACTGTCTAATTTACTCAATAGAGTTCTATGATATTTCGGACAAGTGACCAGTAAGAACATCTTATGAATTACTATTAAGCCTAAGACGAACAGCATTAGCGTGTGCTTCCAAACCTTCAATCTCAGCAAGTTTAATCACAGTAGGTCCCAATCGACGTAATCCATCTTCAGTCAATTCTTGCGCAGTGATATGTTTCATAAATGCTAATGTAGAGACACCTGAGAATTGTTTAGCAAACTTCATGGTAGGAAGTGAACTATAGAAACGAAACATGAGTCAGTATTTTCAACGGTGTGTGAAAGACGGTGTTATGGATCCACTTACTGGTTAGTACCAGATGCATAATCTCCGCAGCTTTCTGGAGAGAATGCCCCGAGAAAGACACTTCCAGCATTCCTGATCTGAGGGAGGTATTGGCTCGGATTAGGAAGGTGTAGGATGAGATGTTCAGGGGCATATTCATTACTCAAGTCGAAAGCTTGCGTGAGTGAATTGACTCGGACTATCAAGCTTCTAGGAATAGATTGTTGGATGATTGAAAGACGTGGTAGGCGTAATGCTTGAGCTTCGATATGGTCTTCGATCTCGGATAATAAGCCCTCTGAAACGTTCACAGCCAGGAGTACAACTTGAGAATCGGGTCCGTGTTCAGCTTGAGAAAGAAGATCAGCGGCCACAAAAGCTGGATTGGATGACTCATCAGCAATGACAAGAACTTCAGAAGGTCCCGCAGGCATATCAATGGCAACACTAGCTTCAACATCACTTGCGACCAACATCTTAGCTGTTGTCACGAACTGGTTCCCAGGCCCAAAAATCTTATCCACTTTAGTAATTGTTTCGGTTCCATAAGCCATAGCACTGATCGAATGTGCACCCCCAGCTTTCACGATCTCCTTCACACCACATCGATTAGCGATGTACATGATCTCGGGCGAGATTGTGCCATCAGGTCTTGGAGGAGTAGCGATCGAGATATGCGGACAGCCAGCAACTTGCGCGGGTATGGCCAACATGAGGGCGGTCGAGGGTAAAACAGCGGTCCCGCCTGGTACATAAAGACCAACTCGATCGATGGGTCGGGCAAACCGTGAGCATACGACACCTTCCATAGTCTCTACAACCATAGGCGAGCGTTCCTTGTCGAGTTGCTTGGCGTGGAAGGTGTAGATGTTATTGTAAGCAATGTCGATGGCCTCTTTGGCCTCCGGGGTGATTTTCATGGTTTCTTGACCAAAGGGAGATCTCATAATCAGGTCAGTAATACTCGCGTTGGGATTTCGATCAAAACTGATGATTGCCTTGAGTAGAGCATTGTCACCACCAGATTTGATGTTGTCAACAATGGGTTTAACACGGGAAAGCATTGCCTTGGAGTCCATCGGTGGGCGGTTCAGTAACTTGTGATGATCGGTGGAAGGTATCTGGGCAAGATCCATGATCTGGCACTTCAGACCAGGATTTGCTTGAGATTGAGCAGGTTTTGACGATTGGGCAGGCGAGTCTTTGTTAGTCGTGGGTGCTTGATTTTCTGCGGTAGATTTTCCGTTAGAAGAGTTGTCCCATTTAGGTTTAGCATCGCCTTTTCTCCTGGTGATCTTGAGTGATCTCTTGTTCAAAACATCCTCTACATCTTTAAGCGAAACACCCTTGCTGATACATCTACAAAGTGCAAAATAGAACAAGTCGGCCATCTCATTCTTGACGTCTTCGTGAGATTCAGCTTCACATAGCTCCTCGGCTTCCTCCATAATTTTAGCTCTCAATAATTTCTCGTCATTGAACAAGCGGTTTGTATAGCTACCGGGCGTAGAGTTTTGGAAACGGTTTAGGAGTACGGACTCGAGGTGGCTGAATCCCCCTACAGGCCCAAAACAGCTCATCTCTTGAGTGTGACAAAATCCTGTGAGTGGCTTTTGAATGACTTGAAATTCGAGCGCGTCGCGATCGCAATCTGTACGTATGCGCACAACAGATTGAGTGGCACCGCTGGTTGCGCCCTTGGCCCATATTTCATTACGCGAGCGGCTGTAGTAGGTGGCCTTTCGGGTCTTGATACTCAATTTGATAGATTCTTTGGATGAGTACACCTGACCTAACAATGTTGACGCCGGAGATCTGGAGACGACGCAAGTAGAGAAGAGGCCGTCTGTTCGATCGGTACGTAGAACCAAGACATACAGATCGGCCAAGTAATCAATATCCACAGAGGTTATAGATGTGCAAGATACGATATGGACTAGATCGGGAGATCGGAGGGCGTCTTGCATCTTGTCTTTGAGTTCGTTAAGATCCAACTGGGGATCAAACAGGAACCTCGGCCGGTCAGACGAGCCTTGTGATTCTATAGCAGAGGTAACTTGTGATCGGGTTGCTTTTTCCAACGTGTACATCACACCCGACACAGAATCAAGTATCATTTGGTTTGCGCTCTCCACGCCGTCGATGATCTTCACGATCCGATCAGGAGGTACGCCGAGGGATACCAACTCGACATCTAGATCGGTGAAAACTTTGACGACACCTAAATCGAGAACTTTGAGCACTTCTGCTGATCTTCGAAGGCGGGATTCGGGAGAGTCCTCCGAGTGGTGATCCAGAACGTAGAGCTCGAAATGACTAGGTAAGATCTTGATGATATCGATGGCAGATGAGAGCGGAATGAGAATAGGGGTGATGACAGCTAATGACTCGAGTAGATCGATGGAAGGTAAATTATTTGGTGAGTCCAAGAAAGGAAGGTATGGTAAATGAGCAAATGCCATCTTGATATCTTTGAGTTGTTTTGATTGAGCTGATTGGCGAACTGAAATGAAAAAAAGGAAACAGTGGATTGACAACTTCAACTTTTCTCTGCTGAGCTACATACATGGCCCGCGCTACAAGCAATCTACCACATACATAGCTTTATACATGGAAAACCCGTGGTGATCGCAACTTGCCACATTTTTAAACTCCTCGCAGGGGGCCACATCAACTTGCTTCTTGTTCATCCTTAACCTTGTCTTCTTAGTTTTCGAGTCAAGAGTGGACATAGAGGGTTTTCATTCGGATCTCTTTGCACCATCGGTTCATTAATTCCAAAGCTTGAGAAGTTAAAATTATTTATTCCAACTCACAGATCTGTTCAAGTGCTTCTGATACTATGGTATTTAATTCTTACACTCTTCTTTTCCATTGATAACATCTTCTCAAGCATCATCCAACCAAATCCTTTAATATCAGGTTTTGAAATCATCTGTCTCCTTATGGTAGGATCAGAGCAGCCGTGGTCCTTGGATGGTGATGTTCCAGCGGATATCTTCTAGCCCAAAGAGTTGCAAAAAGTTGTCCGAGCTGATACCTTTCCACAGCATATGTCTTCACATGCAAGACCTGTTCCGCATGGCCTGCACAAAACTTGAGAGATCTTACAGGGTACTTGGAAGTAGAGATGTATATTTCTCGTGATTCCTATGCGTACATTGTTTGATAATATAAGTTGATCCGCTCAGTCAAGGCACGCAAAAAATATCTGAAGGTGCAAATTGTGGTTACATCACGAAGAAACAACTGCGTTCCCGAATGGGGGTATATATATATATATATATGTATTCGCTCATCCACAAATGTTTTCCGATGTAAAGAAAGAGGTGCCTGCTGGGCAAGTGGAGGTCAGATCTTTTCGCGGGGTGAGATATGAATCCTTCCACTCTCAATGATCATGATTCCATCCTTGGCCATCCTCTTTTCTCTTTCCCGAACAGCATATCAAGTGTTTCCGAGGTTCGATATCCTGAATTCGGGCACGGTGACGATGACGATTTAAAACTGAAATTAAAAACTGAATTCGAGCCCAAGTTGTCCAACTGAGGAAGCGCCGAGCTAGGCCATGCAAATGCATACAATAGATGAGGTCATGATGAAATTGATTTTTCCTCAAATTCTGCCACGTTGGGCGTCACCAGGGTTGGAAGTCCTAATTAACCCTTCAATTCACTAACACATAGATGCCCTTTGGCCTTCTTTGGCTATCTTCCAGCCACCCTTACGGTCCACCCTGGTCCTCCATGTAGAACGAGCTTCTCTCGACGGGACTTCAATTCAGTCAACTCAATGTCGATTGCTTTGTGGCTGACCATCATGATCTAAGAATCAAGTTCAACAACTCTGAAAGCATTTAGCCAGGTTGATCTGGAGACGCATATATATTGTTGCCTTGCCTTTCCCCGTTGAGATCTCATTTTGTTTCTATCAACATCTTCTTGTCGTCTACGCTTCCCACTTCCATCGTTTCCATCTTCTGTTGAGAGAATTTCTGTTATACTGTGTTTCCACACTCCCCATCGATATCATCTCTTACCCTTGACGCCATCATAATCCCCGTACCTACTCACACGCCTACATTCTTCCCTCTGACCGAGCCAACCAAACTTGCATCATCGTAATTCGCACACAACCAGTCTGAGTCATGGCATTAGTTACTAATAGTAGTTTTTGTGTCTCACACGTTGCCACCTCTACTCAACATCACCACTCCGATTTCTCTTCTCAACGCCTTCCCACTCCGTCCTTGCCGCTAGGCAGCCAGGATATGCCCAAGACGCTACCTTGCAAGTGGCAAGTAGCGGTCCCCAACGACCATGTTATCCAATGTCTACAAACTTCGACTCCCAATCAACCTCAGCCTCCGTCTCACTTTGAAACCCCACGTACAATATACCTCGGACCTAAGAGAGTAGAAGATGTAAAATTGAACAGAATCGACAAATCCCGCAATGGTCGTCGCTGGAGACCCTCCCGAAGGCCTTTCGTATTCAAGAGTAGCCCGTTAGCAGAAGGTCACAGCGCAGGAAGACTCAATATTTACATCGGCACGCCGTTCAACCGATTCTCCAAGATCACTACCCTTTCTAGAAACCCCTTCATACGCTCCGGCTTTACAACCAATCTGGCACCATCATCTCATCGTCATGACTATTTCATGGATACTCAAATCACTTCTACCTCTTCGCATATAATTCCTCAACGTAATTTTTGCACACAATACCCGAACGTATCATCGCTACTTCCCAATTCCCCGCCCCTACCGAAGCTTGATAGAATTAGACAGCCATTAATCTCCCGATTCCAATTCTCGAGTCCTAAACCAATGCGAAGTCCATCTGCAGCACACCATCCACCTGCAGAATGTCAGAAATGGGAAATCTCTTTACCGCAGTGTGTCATGTTGAATTTCATACCCCAATAGAGCATGCTCTAAATAACATAACTGGTTCATGAACGTCAGTCTTTTTCAAATCTTCATTCACATTGTTGTTTCCTCTGGCTCAACGAAACTTTTTGCTTCTTACCAGATTATATACCTCAAACGCCGGAACGACTATACTATAAAATGTCCGGCAACATACTCTTCCTCTGTTCTTTCAACCCGTCTTGCAATCTTCGAATGCTTCTCCTTTTTCTTCATTCTATATCATTTTTTTTCGATTTCACTTATAAATACAATGGACGAAGTCTAACTTTTATTGGAAATTACATGTAATGGTTCAACTTTTTCTTTGTTTTCCCACTTGAATTTTGATACCGTTAAATAATAGATTATTTTTCACGTGTCAACTTGTTACTTGAACCTTTTGTTGCACGAGATGTTTAATTTTTTCCAGAGTCCTTGTAGTGTACAAAGGATTTCCCAAAAAAGTGCATAAGCATATGATGTTGAGGACAAGTAACATGATTGTTTATTCGATTTGTGTACATTAACTCTTGTAACTATTTCCATTGCGCCAAGGACATATCAGCAAAGCGTGCTATGAGCTTCAGAAACAATCTGCTTTCATACGATTCATGCCAACAATTGTAAAATAGCAATCCATAAGACGCTTGAAAATTTCAGATACGTTCCCATGCATAACAGAATTGACATGATGTCGAAAAAAGATATGCTGCTCACCTGATCTCACAGACAGTACATTGATTTCGAGGCCAGGGGTGTCCGTATGTGGGGGAGTCTCCAGAGGCTCGGGACAGGCGTGTAAAGATGATCACTTGAGCACCCCCTTTTAAGACTTATGAGTTGATAGCACCCCCTCCATCGAAGGAGGGATTGTTTTGAGTGTCAGTCAAGCTGAGATGTCTAATAATCAAGTCTCAAGCTATTGGATGATTCAAATTAAAGACAGATGAGCTCAAAATATACAAGATGAACCTCATTTGAATTCAAGATATACAAGATGAATCCCATTCAAATTTGTCCGAACAGGTATGCAGACCAAGTCCTGCTTGGTATATATGTACAGGAATAAAAAATGAGATACGTCTAGGTCTATGGGGGGAGAGGAATTCTAGATGAGCTATACATGGTGTTACTTTCAAATTTCAACTTCGCGTTTCCAAAACTGACAATCATGTCCGACCATGATCTTGCTGCCCGTCAGCGCCAGAATTTTCAAGGGATGAGAGCGGGAATGAACAGACTTTATGAGTTAAACGAAGCAGCTTTGAAGTTTGATTGAAGTTGCATTTGTTGGTATTCCCTCGTGTGCCGAATGTATGCACCCAGTGCATTTTAGACAAGCAACCAGTTTATCGGTCTGTTGTACTTGTAGAGAGGAGGCTTGTTTCTGGATGCCTAGATCCATCTGAAGTATTTTTTGCACCCAAAGCTCGTTCCAATGCATGACTGAAGGTGATAGCCTTTTCGTCTAAATATTTTGTCATTAGCCAGCTGAACGCGATAACACATCCAACCCAAAAAGGTACCATAAGAAAAGTTGATAAGGTATCTGATATTCCCCACGTTTGAAATCTCCAAGCGAGAGATACCCCAACACTAAGTAAGAGTGGAGCATGAATCACATATAGTGAAAAAGAAATTCTCCCCAAAAATTGAAGTGGTCGAGTGGAGAAAAACTGCTGAGCCGCTGGCCATCGTGATATGGTTAAAACCGTTAGGCAGCCGCCCATTATATTGTAAGCTTGCTTCACTTCAAATTCATCTTCACTATATCTTGACATCACCTGAAACATCCAACGCGACCAAGATGCTCCGGTCATTTCCAACCAGGGCACTGATCCGAAAAACAAGCCGACTATCAAGGTGGCGCCCATGGCCGATGAACGAAGATAGCCACATAATATATTTCTTCTATTGAACGTTGGTTGAGTGGGTTGAGATTGTGAGACCTGAAGTTCGGCAATGAGGATACCTAATAGGAATGGCAAGAAAGCGACTTCGTTATGACACAAGTTCACGAGCCCCAGTGCGATCACTAGCATAACTCGAAATCGAAGTTGTAAGTTGGAGATTGCCAATAAGACCAAAAACACATTCAGAGAGCCTAAAAACTCTTCACGCATTGTCCACAAGACAACATTATATTGAGTTTTGTTGCCTGCGTCATACCACAGATTCACCTGTAAGTTTTTGAACATCGATCAATAAGAATTCTTTTTGGTGATTGATATACCTAAAGAATCTCTGACTCACCATAAATTTCAAACATTCTACCGTTTGCGCGTGCCAATTGGGGGTGACGAAACGTGGAATATGGTCAATAGTCCACCAAGTACCCACCTTCGCAGCCCGAGTTTGATCAAAACCTCCACTCAATAGAATGGTATGTGAGACGATAAGTGAAAACAGTGGAGGAGGTGCCAGCCTGACGATCCTGCGTAAACAAGCAGATGCCAATGAATTCCGAACAGAAATCGAATCTGACGGATTTGTACTGATGCGATGGAGGGGGCGATAGGATAACACATAGCCTGATTCACAAAAAAAAATGGTAAGTCAAAAAATATTGATATGGTTTCTTCTCTGAAACACACCTGATAACACGAAAAACAATGTGACCAAGAACTAAGAAAAACCACGTCGATTTAGAAATTTTCAAGGAGAGGCAGCGAGACAAGCCAAAAATGCAAAGAATTAGCAAGTGAAAAAGGCTAACGCTGGGAGATATAAATGATCGCAAGATAGGCCACTGCCAAAAATGGACGGTGCCATCGGGGTCATTTGTGTCTAAAACAGCTTCAGAGTTGAAAGCGACAATCCCATGATGAATCATAACACAGAAAGCCGCGAGGCCTCTCAATCCATTGGCCCAATGTTGTGTAACTCCTTTTGATGAGTTCGTTGCTTGATCCTGTTCTTCTTCCGGTTGATGTCTTCTTTCTTCCAGCAGATGATCCTCCAAAGCTAAAATTTCGTACTCGCCCCCAGATTTAGTCTTGAAGCCAAAAAGATTCATTCTTGCCAAGGCCTTGTCAATGTGATCACGATTAAACATGATTGAGGTAAAGGCAATTGAATGGTGGATACAGATGTGAGCTCAACATGGAAAAAGAAAGATCCTTATCTTTATATATAAGGAAATGATGACTTTCCCATTCCGAAGTGAAGGTTACTCGTTTGCATAATGTGGTCCACCTCAATGGCAACGAAAAAAAATCACTACATGAGGTTGAAACAAATCCATGGTAGTTGACGGGACCAGGCCGGGACTTCAAGTTACGAGCGCGGCTAAAGATTGCTGGATAATTCTTCGAACCAGTAACACTAGACAAAACTCCTCAAAACTCCCTCACACTTGACAACGCCATGGATGCCGCTGCGCGCTATGAAAGTACTGATCAATTTCAACCTTTTGCTCTCAAACAAGAACTCGTTCAGACGATATTCGAGAGAAGATATCCAAACGACTCTCAACCTGACCGACATGTTGAAGAATATGTGTTAGGCCTTTCTTCAACTTCCCTCAGGAATTCTTCAATTAGAAACATGAATGGTGCATTCCCTGATAATTGATCATGAGGGTGGTGATGGATACTGTCAAAAAGGCGATCCACTGATTGGGTACAATTTTTAGGCAGTTATAAGGCCCAGGTTAATCACAAAGAAGTTGAAGAGTAGTTTGCAACCAGTGCAATCCTGAAATCAAAAGGACTTGAAAATATATTGTGACAATGGCCTTCGCCTATCTACACCTTTATTCCTGCCCTTTATCTAGTTCATCAGCTGTAGCGTTCTGATATCACCTTGTAGCTTCTTGGATGAATGGATTTCTTAGTGTGAAGTTTGGAGGAAGAAGGGACACCTGGGGAATCAGGTGCAGCGTAAGCAAAACGGCACACGCCTATACGAGCTTCTGACGAGCTTCTAAACAAATAAGGCACCTGACATACAACACACCAACACACACATAAGAGTTAATAGTAGTAATAGAAATAGAGAGAAAAATCAAGACAAACCTGTGCTCAATGCAACAGGGTACGTTGCTATTATCTTGATGTTCCACTGTTCCACTGTTCCACTGTTCCACTGTTCCACTGTTCCACTGTTCCACTGTTCCACTGTTCCACTGTTCCACTGTTCCACTGTTCCACTGTTCCACTTTTGCTGATATTCGTGGAATTCCTAAAGACAACACCTCATGAGAATTCATCATTATTGAAACTGAACAAACGAGTCGTATCATGTGATAATGACCAAGAAATGGGTGTAACGAACCTTGTTTTGATAGCGTGAAGCCAGTGATTGTAGAACTCCATCAATATTTGACCTTTCTATCTAATCCTGGTATGATCTCCGTCAATGTTGGTACAGTCGATTTCAGGTCAAGTTGAGAGTCATTTGGATATCTTCTCTCAAATATCGAACATTCTAAACGAGTTCTTGTTTGAAAGCAAAAGGTTGAAATTCATCAGTACTTCCATAAAGAACCCTTGCGTGGCTCGTTGCTGATCGGATGAAATGATTTGACTATACTTTAATTATATACATATAGCTCTGGTTTTGGGATTTCAATGAGATTGAATCAAACGATCCCATTTTCTTATATCTCTATCCTTCAAATTCAAAGCGATTCTTTTTCAAAAACAATCTTCAACTTTGACTCCAAGCCTTGTTAAAATATCATGGTTTGGGGGGTTTGGCTACATAGACAAACCTCACATGTTTTTTTGGTGAATTCTCCGTCAATTTCTCTTTAACCAAACATAAAGGTATTCTCAAAAGAGTCAACTCAAAGTTTTAAAAAAACAAAGACAACCAAAAAGCCAAGACTTCAAAAAATTCTTTGCCGAAAAAAAAACTAAAAAAGGAGACGTAACGAAAAAAAGAAACAAGTTGTACAAGGTAAATTGAAAAAAAAAGATAATAAATCACATGACTGTGTTTTTCTTTAAAAGAAAGATAATGAATTAAAAAAAAGGAAGTAGAGAAAACAGTCTATAGGATCTATCCTTTTTTCTTTCCAAAAAAAATCTTTTAACCAAATTTAAAACTAAACTGTTGACCTGAACCACCAAATGGATTACCTCCACCAAATCCACCTGCTTGTTGTTGAAAGAATTGTTGAAAGATTGGATTACCTCCCTGTTGGAATGGATTACCTCCTCTTCCTTGATTCGGATCATTTGGATCATCACCTAGAAAAAAAGGTCAACAGAAGCATCGGATCAGTCTCATGAAAAAAAAGATTTCAATAGTATGAATCATTAAACTAACCGTTATCGTATCTGGCTCTAAGTTCGGGGTTCGAAAGGACCTCCTGTAAAGAATAACACATAAGTCGCAAATGATTAATAAAGCAAACAACAAACAGTTGCAAGATAGTTGTAAGGAGAGAGTCGAGTTCAATACTAACATAAGCTTCATTCAATGCCGCCATCTTGGCTTGCGAACCGCCCTTATCCTGGAAATGAAAATGAAATGAGCTTAATTCACTAAAAAGATTAGATATTTTAGTTTGTCTTACAGGATGTGCCTTCAAAGTTGCCTTACGATAAGCCTTCTTCAAAGTCTTCTCGTCCGCTGTCCTTGACACTCCAAGTACCTTATAATAATCTTTTTGTTTAGAGACTTTCAATCCTTTTTGAGCTTTTCTAAGTCGTTCTGCAATATCTTGATCATCTCCATTCAGCTCATAAGCTTGACTCAAAAGTTTGACAGCTTCTTCCCATTCCTCTGATTTGATTAAAACTTCAGCTTTACCAACTAGTCCCCATGGTTGCTTAGGATCTCTTTCATATAGAATCGTACAGATCGATTTAGATTTCTCAAGTTCATTCAACTTGATGTATGCCTTACAAGTATATGAGTATAATGTAGTCAGAAGTTGAGAATGTTGATCAAGATTTTCGATTGTGGGTGAGATCAAAGGCTCATCAATACCCGACTTAGGATCCACGACTTGTGATGACTTGATGGCTTCTTGAACTTGAGCTAATAATCCTTCACTTTCTTTGCCTCTCGGGTTCAAGATCTTGATTGCTGAGCGATATCCATCAGATTGTATAAAGTTTTGAAGCTTGACGTGTTCTTTATCAATGGCTTTCAATAGTCGAAATGCTTTCTTACAAGGTTTAGATTCTGGATCTGAATGAAGACATTTTTTAATTGGAGCGATTGATTGAGATAAAGGTTGGGCCAGAAAGAAGGATGAAAGCAATGAAACCTTGAGTGCGACTATACCGCTATTGGGATTGAGTTGTGCGACCCGCCTGAAAACATATGAAATAATGTCAACCAAAATGCTCCAGAAATAGAGATGCAAGGCATACACTCACGTTAAATCACCGGCAGCCTCCTGTATGTGACCTCTAGCCAGATGGCAATCACTCCGTATCTGACGTAATTCGGCATTCTGAGGACTATGCTGAATAGCAGCACTAGCTTCTTCCACACAACTATCCCATTTCTTGGCTGACAAGTGCGTTTTACAGGCTTTCAGGTGTTTTCGAGTACTCGCGAGATCGGTCTGAAGGGTAGAGATAACCGAAGAAACGTCTTTGCCAGCCGCCAAATGTGTATCGATCTGAGACTTGCAAGCATCAAGGTCACCGAGTTTCAAGTAAATCTTTGCAAGCTGGATCCGAGCTTTATCAAAGTCCTTTAATTCTAGCACTCTTTGAAATGAAGTAGAGGCATGGTTATAATGTCCCAAGCTCATCTGTGTGGTCGCTTTTTTGTATAGAGTTAGATAGTCGTCAGGGTTTCGGTCAAGCGCCAAGTCAAACAACTCGAGTGCTTGTGTAGAAAGTCCGCTGGCTAGTAAAGAGTTGGCTTTGTCAATAAGCTGAGAAGTAGTGAGTTCTGCGTTCTCAGAGGCCATCGAATCGGATATCATAAGTCGAGCCAACAAAGGAATTGTAGTCAAGATTAAGAAGGCTTTGGCAGTCAACTGCACACCATTAGTGCGAGGACGCATGATGGTCGATGAATGAATAGTTATATGTAGAGGTAGAATTAAAAAAAGGTTGAGATGAATGTGATGATGATGATGATGAAAGTTGATTACAACCAAGAGGCAAGTTGAATTTATAATTTTCGAGAATGCGCTCAATCAAATTCGTGGTGATGTGGAACTTGTCAAGTTGAAATTCAATACAGACTGTACACACATGTAGCAACAGCGCAGCGTGATCAATCATCAAACACATGTAACGCAGCCCTCGGTACTCATAGAAATTGCCTTCGACGACCCACCACACTGCCACAGATCACCACTTTGATCATTTGGATTGCACCCAGATATGAAACTTTCAAAACACTTTCAGACAGCCTTGCCTGATCAGAAGCACTTTCTAGCGATTTGTTTTTTGTAAAAGAAATCAATTTTGAAGGATTGGGAGAGCAAAGTACAAGATTGTTTTTGTTTACTTTATCGATTTGTAAGACTCGGACTAATTGTCTCAATCTTAGCAAATATTATGAAATTTCACTCGACAATTTCTTGAATCTTAAGATAAATGTGAAAGACAAGTTACATTTCACCATACAACATTTCTCATACTGTTGATACAAGAGCAGGAGTGAAAGAAGATTGGAGCGATTTGACTGTGGAATGATCCACAACATTTGGTCCTTCAGAAGTCAATGGTTGCCTTGTGGTATGTGTTAAACACAAGGCTGCAGCCTGTAATTAGTGACAGATTGTGTTAGCAGTTAAAGAGATTTGTTGGTATTTAAGAAAAATAATTCACCAGGATGACAATGACATTGATGGAATTGTCGATAAAGAATCTCCATTCCAAAATCAGTGATTGATTATAAAGAATCCATGACGCCACCTGACTAAGAGTGGAACAGAAAAAAGCATCAATTAAGATGGAGAGGGGTTGAATGTCATGGATGTTATCTACTTACACTCCTAGTCCATGAGCAGTGTTCAAAAGCAGGTGGTTTTTGAACAAACAGGCAGAGATTATGTATAGTGGAGCCCTAAGAAGAAATTTTAATTGAAAGTATCAGTAAAGATGGAATTAAAGATGACAGTAAAAAAGAAGAGAATGTATATCCAACCAACATCAGAAGTATGTATCCAGGTCCATCAACAAAGTCCTGATTGGACTTATACCTAGTGAGATTCAGAAGAGGTGTGCCAACCAGGATTCCAAAGGCAATCTCAAGCCTGTTTTAAGTAATGTACCATTAGAGACGTATTCACTGAAATAATTGGAAACAACATACACTATGTGTCGATTTGGGCTACTAAGGATGGCAAAACCCACGTCGGCAGGGCTCATGTTTTGAATGGAGGCTGGTAGCAATTTGACGGCTATATCATGGGTACCATAAACAACAATTGTACCACAGATCGAGCCAAGAAACTGGGAAAGAAGGTAGCATGGTGCTTTTCTAAGTGGAAAGTCTTGGAAAATCTAGAATATAGGTACGTCAGTAAGATTGAAGTAACAAAGAGTAGTGAAAGAGACTTAACTGTAAGGGTAAGGGTGATAGCGGGACTCTGATGTGCATTGACAAGACGTGGGCAAGAGTGATGAGCTGCATAAAAGATAAGGATAATGATGCAACACAGATATATGGTAATCAATATCATCTAGATCAAATTGCACAAGTCAGCTTTGGATGGTGGTAAAGTTATATATAATTAGGTATTAAATACCTTCCAGTCCCAGCTTGTAACTCCAGAGTATAGATGTGCTGTTAAAAAGACAAAACTTTGATTGATCAGTACTTTGTAAACGCAATCATCACTGAGACTCATGAAAGAAATATAAATACCGATGTTTAGAGATTCCATACATATAACAAATACAAATACACTGAGGAACTCGATGACACAGTTTGAAAAGGAGATGGTAGAAGTGGGTTTCGGATGAGCAAATGCCAGTTCAGATTTTTCCAAGTCCATGATGAAACTTTTGGTGGTTTTAGGTGCCATGAATCAAGAATGTTAGCATTTGAAGTTTGAGAGTGCGTTGAAATTGATGATGAGTGTTGCAGTATGAATGGAAATGAAGGTAAACAATGTGAGATCAGAAGAGGATGGTGGTTGAGGAAATTAATTGAAAGAGTCTTCCACCTCAAATACTTTACGGATGTAGATGGCAGGAAAGGGCAATATGCCTTGACAAAAGCCTGAATTAGTCCAGTTTATAATGAAGATGTTTCAATAAAGATGGCCATTACCTGCTAACACATAATCTTCCCATTTCAAAAGGAGCCAGCTATTTTAGACTTTGGTAGTAGGTACATTCGATAAATGATCAACTATACCAAGGGTCATTTTTAGGACAGCCGCCCTGATCCATGTCCCTCTTTTGGTCCTGGTGGAAGAATTACATTGTATAAGATTGATTGGTATAACATTTGCATTGATCCAGAGTGATTATGCAATCCGTGGTTTAATTTATGTCCTTAGAGATTTCCACATGATCACTTCGAGATAGACTGACCAATCAAAAGTAATATTGATATTATTACGAGTCTCCACTGTAAAAGCAAGAACAATCACATTCTATTCTTAGATACCCTAAACCTCCCTCACGTTGATATCTATGCTTGTTGCAACACTGACTCAAGCCCTCTGTACGGTGCAGAGAGGGATTCTGTCTCTATCAGAGTCATTTGGCTCCAGATTTGCTTCCATTATCACCATTTGGAAATCATATCCAGTTTTGGACACCTTTTTAGCAGAGTTTTCATGTTCCCTACTTTTAACACTCCTCTCCAAGAGTACAGTTGCAGGTAAGATCTTACCATTGAATATAATTACAGATTTGTCTTGATACCTGGATTGTCTGTATTGCTTTATTTGAAGAGGTTTTTGAAGAGGCCTTGGATAATAGTACTACTAGTAAATCTAGCAGCCGTCTGATTGTTGCAATAGGAGCAGGGTAAGTCAAATTTTTCTGTGGTTTCTATAGTTTATAATCCATATACGTATTGACCCATTTTTATGGAATTTGAAGGGGAGCAAGTTTACTCACCACTTGGTTTGGAACAATGTTCCAGTCTGAGATTTATCTCGAAGTAGGTATCACTATTGGTCTTACCGTAAGAATTTTTTTGCTTGATTCTAAGTTTAAACTTGTCTCTTAATTTTGATATTTTTCCACAGTTATTGAAACAGATCCCTGCCAGTCATATGATACCTCGGATCATAGCTCAAGTTCTTGGAGCTTTGGTAGGAATGATTTTAGTCTATGTACTATTTCACAGCTCTCATCTTTCGACAGTCAATCCAATCAGCTTAACCCAAAGCTCAGCCAGCATCGGTACCACGTTTGTTGATGGAAATCAAAGTCTTGTCCTGCAAGTTCCTTATCTCATTGTATATCTTATATTTCTTACTAATGCATCTTATTCCTCTTGCTCTAGTGTTTTTGGACTTCAATCCATATTTGGATTTCTTCTCGGTTTTATGCATGTTCATTATCAGGAAATGGAGGAATCCATATCTTGTTGGAAGAAAAGATCACGGTTCAATTTTATGACACTAAGTGCTATCTTGTCAGTTTTCAATTAGCCATTGATCCTCTAACTCTAATTGATGGATTGTTTTGACTTGATTGATACAAAGCAATGCCGTGACTTCCTTGGCCTTTGGCTCAAGGGGATTGGTTCTCAATGCTTCAATTGAACTGGGATGGTGAGGATCCATCAAAAATCCCAAAGAGAGTCAAAAACTGACCCTTGAAACTTTTGTCTTAAAATTAGTCAAATCGCGACTTTTTTCATTTTTGGTTCGACAATTTTTCAGAATGCTACTTCAAGTATTGTGATAATATTCTCATCAGTCCCAGCGATAATTGTAAGATGTGATTTTCTCTACATAAAGGAAGTTGTGAATTGATCCGTTTTCTCATATTCAAATATGGATCTTAGGTTGGTAGCCTTCTAGCCAAATTGATCCGAAAAAAGTCCACATCCAGTCAGGATGAAGTTTCTCAATCGAATACCTCTATTCAGTTGGACTTGGAGTTTCAACTCGAAGTCTAACTTCTTTCTTCTTCATTTATGTACTAGTCTTTTCCCAAATTATTCCCTATACATATCTGTCACATGCATGGTTTGAACTGTTCTCCCTGATCTAATGCAATGTATTGGTGAAAGGTACCATCTCTGAATAATAATCCTTAGTCAATGGTCTTGTCTATGACTCGGAGGGTGATATTGGGTGCATGCTGTCAGGTTCTTACCTTGAATCTGGAGTCTTGGCTGGGGAATGGGTGACATACACTCTTTGAAGATAAACATTGGCAAATCTCTCCTTGGACAAAAAATAATCATGAAGAAAACGAGTAAACAAAAGTTTATATTTGAGAAAAACAAGTTAAAAGTTTATTTGGTTTTGATGGTTTTACTTCTTTGAAGATTGCCTTTTTTTAATCACAGTCACCTTTCGATTGATTGTTCGATTCTTAAGCATTTCACACTTACGATGAATCTCATCATCACAATTTTCCACCATGGCTTCACGGACAGTTTCCCACTCTTGATCATCCATATCACCTTGCAGGTTAGCAATCTTATTAATGCAAGCTACAATGGATTTCGTAATTTGACAGGAAGAGCCAAAGCGGGTTATTTCCAAAAGCTTTGGATCAACTGGTTCATGATTGGCTCGGTGTGTGGTGGATGGAAGGGTTTGGTGATTGACATCCGTAGCCCATACCATTTCTACAACCCCATCGCAAGCTTCAAAATCGACTTCGACCTTATAATCATTGAATAAAAATTTGCCTTCTTTGATATAACCGTCTTTAGCATTGATACCACGGCGATAAAGCTTTCCACTTGAACGATATATGAGGCTCCATAACCCATATGAATAGCCAGATTCATCGTTATCCTTGTGCTTAGCATTATGGAATTCATCCCTAGTGATTACGAAGTTGGACCCAAAAGCTCTTCCATTTGGTGAATTGAAGAACGATTCTGAAGCCCAAGAAAGGTTTCCATATTGAGCACATAATTGTACATTGGAACAAAATGCAAGAAGGGAAAGAGATGCAAAGCGTTCAGCTAAGAAATGCTGGATGTAAGAGAGAAGCTTTTGTCGTCTTGAGTCGTGTTGCATTTTTAATATGCATTTAGCAGTTGTAGAGTTCAGTGCATATGGTCCTAAGATACAATATGGTCAATGCTTTTATATGGCAGAAAAATCATTAAGAGTTGTAATTACTCACCACCACAAACCCCTTTTCGATATCCTGCTCTGAATCCGATGGCAAACATCTCACCCCACTTGGTTTTCTTCAGTTTGACTGTTGCACCATTTGTCTTGATAGAATAGCGTGCAGTTGCATGCTGGTAGATAGTAGATATGGAATTATTGAAGCGCTTAAACAGATACTTGCTAGAGGTGGTTTCTATTGACTTTCCAGTCTTACTCTTTTCATCCTCGTATTGATGTGAATTGAATCAAATCACAGCAATTAATTTGGTGCCATAAGAGTTCAGGATTACAACAGTTCCATAGCTTAGACTGAGAGTTTGTTGCTTTCCATGCTCAGATCGGAAGACAAAAGTGGCATCGCGAGGAAGACCAAATTGGGCTCGGAGTTTTTCTTTGAATTCATATCTTATGCAAGCTCTGTTTGTCTTGAAGGTTGGTGTAGATTCAAAGGTGGCCCTAGGAGACGATTGGAGTTTGTTGATGCTGCGCAATGCAGCTTCAGAGCGCTTAGTTGCTACCTTAATTTGTAGAGTGCTCTTGCGTTGAGCTATGGTCGATTTGGATCGATGTTTAGGCTTTTTTGGTTTAGTAGCAGAATCAATCATCTAAAGACAAATAGCATCAAAACCGGATGAGTACTTGATTCTCCCATGGTTCCAAGGTGAATTGTTGGAGCTGATAGTATTCAGAATAACTAGAGAGATCCAGGTGTCTGACAAAATTCAAACATCATAGAACTGTCGCGTGCAGCGGAACCACAGTTGCATGAAGAGAATCAAGTGGACTTGAACCTGGTTCAACTCTAGCTACCCTGTCTACAAATCAACTCCTACATCTCGGCCATGTGTAAGAGTCTGAAGGAATATATAGTGTTTTTCGAATAAAAGATCAACAAAATCAGGTAACCCAGGTAACATCAACAACCACAATTGTGAGTTTAGGGTATGCAAGATCTCATATCTCTGTCAGACGCATGATACACTTCATAAATCCTAAATCCTCCATACACACTTCTGGGATAGGAAAATGTCTGATCTCACATTACAGTCGATGTTACTTAAAGCAGTGAGTAGAGCAAATCTGTCTAGAATTGATGTTTGAGAAGGAGCTGAAGATGATAGGTATGTGTGAATTGGCAATTTGATTTTGATGATTTTGATGAATCAGAATGTAAGGTGATCATAAAGATTTGATTTTCTTGAATGAATAAAAATTATAGCCACAATAATTTTTGATATGATGAAGATGATTAAAATGAGATCATTGTTGAAGTGATAATGATGGGATCGATTCCATTGATCAAGATGTAAGACAGCAACAATCATAAGTCTTTATGTTGTTCTTTCAAAAGAAGAAAGAATAGACAGACGCGACTCACTATTATTGAGATAACATTGCAATAGCCAACATCCCGATTAGGAAGTATAACCACCATTCCGAATTGGTCATGGTATCCAACAACTCCTAACTCCTTCTCTTCGTTATAGTCATATGTTTTATATTTGTCCCAAAGCAGTGAATGAGAGTCGCAATCCTGATGAGATATTATTAACCTATGTATCGGAAAGTTAGCTATATAAAAGACCGTTGTTTGCGTGCAGTAATTGTTTCCTCACTCAAACTCTTATCTTGTGTCTTTTTTCATTCCGTGCTACCTTCCAACAGGTGCATATCTCACTTTCATCACTCATTAGTGATAGTAGCCTCAGCGCTCTTTTGACATCACTAATTCGTGATCCTTTACCAGGTGCATATCTCACTTTCATCACTCATTAGTGATAGTAGCCTCAGCGCTCTTTTGACATCACTAATTCGTGATCCTTTACCAGTCACGCGCCCATTCCTTACTTTATTAGGTTATGAGCCCAGCCTATTCAACTTAATCAGTTTCAAGCGCTACCAGCTACTCTTATGAGCGACGGTCTATCTACATCGACGCCTGCACCATCCACTCCATCTACCATCATCAACAACGATCACTCACACATTACTCAGGTAATGTCGAATCACCAAAACTCCTCCGAAGCCACGCATATTGCTCCTCTGGAGCAAGACTGGCAACGATGGCAACCTCTCATGCTCGCACACTTCATGGAAGGCGATCTTGACGCCATCGTTGACGGTACTGAAACGGAACCTGCTGAAGATGCAACTGCCGCTATCAAGCTCGACTATCAACGTCGGCGAAAGAAGGCTGCAGGTTTTATCTCCAGAAAACTTAGTCCTGAGAATAGAGCCCTAGTTATCAATGCTACTAACATCAAGGATCCCAAAGCAATTTGGGATGCTTTAGTTAAACTCTATGCTTCTACTAAAGCCAGAAACCGTGCTCGTATTCTTCGCAAGTTTCTCAATTTAAAATGTTCCAACAATTCACTTTCATCTTTTCTTTCCGAGTATCGTAAAATAACTCATGAGATGACTGAAGTCTCGTTCAAGATTGATGATGATATCCTAGCTCATATGCTTTTATACAAACTTTCACCTCGTTACCATTCAACTAGAGATTTATTGGCTCATTCAGCAGAGACTGCCGACACTCTTTTAACTTTAAATCAAGTCTTTGAGCATTTGCAACAGATTGTTCTCGATTATCAACCTAGTTCCACTCCTCCTCCTGCAGCTCTTGTAGCTGAACAACGCACTTCTAATTATCCTCGTTGTTCAAATGGAGTTCATAATCCTTTATCATCTCATGCTGAAGATCGTTGTTATCAAGCTCATCCTGAACTCAAGCCAGTCCGGAACATCAATCGCTCCAATAACAGCAGTTCAGCCAATGCAACCATTAGCGGTACGGTTCTCACTACTTACGTATTCAATGCTACACTTACCGGAAAACCTGTTCTTGACTCTGGCGCCTCGCAATCTATGTTCAGCTCTCGACTTTGCTTTACTGATTATAGACCTTGTCAAGCTACCATCCACGTCGCAAATGGACAACACATCAATGCCATTGGAACCGGAACTGTGTCAGGTACTCACGATGGAAAACTCGTATCATTCACGGATTGTCTCCATGTACCGCAACTTTCAACTAATCTGGTTAGTATGGTCGCCTTGGTTAGAAAAGGCTGTACATTCAACTTCAGTCCAGATGCTAGTTTCAATGTCGTTGTTGGCTCTGATGTGGTTCTCACTGGAGACACTAAGAGTGGAGTTATGGAAGTTAACTTCGACATGGGCAAGTCAACTTCACTCTCACTCACCGCTTCGACTCAAATTGACTCTGTCACTCTTCACAGGCGCCTAGGCCATCCTGGACGAGTCCCCTTGGAGAAAGCTTTTCCTGGAGCTATCCATCCTGATTCATGTGATCCTTGTATTCTCTCTAAACATCACCGTCTGCCATTTAAAAGTCATCTTCCCATCGCCTGTGATCGCCTATCTGTGTTATATAGTGATTTGAGTGTCCTAATTACTCCTCCTTCTCTTGGCGGCGGTAGATATTACTTTAAAATCACCGATCAAAAGTCCAATTATAAATTTGTTTATATTCTCAAAACCAAATGTCAAACCTTTTCATATTTTGTTCAATTTAAAGCCTTAGTTGAAAATCAAACCAATCTTAAAATCAAAACTCTTGTCAATGACAACGGCGGAGAATACACTTCAAAGCAGTTTACTGAGTTCATTAATCATGAAGGAATTCGAATGGACTTCACTGCTCCGTATACTCCTCAGCAGAATTCCATCTCTGAGCGAGGAAATCGCACAACTACTGAGAAGGCTAGAGCATTACTTAAACAAGCTAGTTTACCTCTTGTGTTCTGGGCAGAAGCCGTATCAACCTCAGTTTATCTCGAAAATCTAACTCCTTTTGCTAGAGATAATTTCGTCACTCCTTACGAAAACTGGTTTGGTAAACCACCTTCTCTCACTCACTTGCGTGTGTTTGGTTGCCTTGCTTATGTTCACGTTGGTAAAGAACGTCGAACAAGCAAATTTTCTGATGTGGCAAAGAAAGGAGTTCTCCTCGGGTATCAGGGGTCCATGCACAATTACCGTGTTTACCTTCTTGATGACCATCGTGTAGTATTTAGTCACGACGTAGTCTTCAATGAAAGTGTGTTTCCGTTTTCTGATCCTGTCATTCTCGCTGAGTTTGAAAAGAAGTTTGGTACTTTTGATGAACATTTTCTTGAAGACATTAATGAAGATTCAAGCTTTGAACAGCCACTTCCGCATTCACCAATTCACCCTCTAGCAGCTGATGAAGATCTATCCATTGCTAAATCTTCTCTGTCTGAACTTGATACCACTTCTTATTCTTCTGATTCCATTCTACCAAACGAACAACTAGTCGACTCTTTAAATGAACCTCAGCTTGAAGAAGAACCTCAGCGTGATGAAGAACCTCCGGTTGATGAAGATCCTCAAATCGAAGATGAGCATCAACAAGAAGACGAAAGTTCAGGTCGCCCTCATTTCTCCTACATCCCTGCAACTATCCCTGCACCCAAAGCTATCTCAAGTTCGATCGACCCATCGAACATCATCACCACCAGACGCCGAGCCAATCTTGCCGTCAGTTCTCTCACCTCAATGCGAAGAGCAAACCTAGCTAGTCAAGATTCAGAACCTCATTCGTATCGAGAAGCTATGTACCGACCAGATTCAGCCAAGTGGAAGGAGGCCATCTCAAAAGAACTGAACTCACTTATTGAAATGGGTGTCTTTACTGAGATGGAGCTCCCTGACAGTGCGCATGCTCTCGGCACGACTTGGGCGTTTCGAAGGAAGACGGACGAGAATGATGTAGTAATCAAGCACAAGGCTCGACTATGTGCGCAAGGGTTCTCTCAAATCCCTGGACTCGACTATAACGAGACCTATGCCCCTACCAGTTGTGCTGCAAGTATGCGTATTGCTCTAAGCATATGTGGAATTGATGATCTGGAACTCCGGCTTATGGACGCAGTTGGAGCTTTTCTCAATGGCATACCCGATGAAGTTCTCTACATTAAGATACCACAAGGTTATATTCCAAAGCTCACTGGTAAGAACATTGTTCTTCTTTTAAATCGTTCACTGTATGGCCTCAAACAGTCTCCTCGGTGTTGGTACAATATGGTCAAATCCTTCTTCTCAACAATCAATTTCACTCCTTCCAAGTCAGATCCGTGTCTCTTTATCTCAAACGATCCTTCGTGGCGTTGCTTTGTTCATGTACATGTCGATGACATGCTGATTATGGGCAAGAACACCGATCGTTTCTCTAAACTTATTCAGTCACGCTTCAAGATGGAAGATATGGGTGTATGTTCATTTTACTTAGGTATGCGTCTAGAACAAGATCATCTTGCACGCACTATCACTCTCACTCAGGACAAGTACATACTCAATATGCTTGACAAGTACGGAATGAAGGATTGTCACCCAGTTTCAACCCCTATGATTCCTGGAACCTATCTCACTCCGGCTTCCGATGAAGAACACCAGCAGTTTTTATCAACTGGAATCAACTATAATCGAGCGGTCGGTCTTCTCAACTACTTAGTTCTGTGTACTAGACCTGATTTGGCATTCACGGCCGGACAGCTTGCTCAGCATCTCAAGAAGCCTGGTCCTGAACACTGGGCGGCCTTCAAGCGTGTACTTCGTTATCTTCAAGGTACTTATCAAGACGGGTTGGTATTAGGTGGTGGAACGTTGGAATTAAAGGTGTTTTCTGATTCAGATTATGCAGGATGTCCAGCAACTCGACGCTCAACATCTGGCTACATCTCAAAGGTAGGTAATGGTTGTGTGAGTTGGCGTTCTAGGAAGCAGCCATTGGTATCCACTTCATCAACAGAGGCGGAGTACCGTGCTGCATATGAAGCTGCTCAAGAAACGGTTTGGTTAAGGCGGATTTTAAATGACTTAGGAAGTACTCAATCAGGTGGTACGCCGTTTCTCTGTGACAATCAAAGCTCCCTCGCATTGCAGAAGAATCCTCTCTTTAAGGATCGATCAAAGCACTTTGGAGTTCATCTACACTGGATCAGGGAGCAAGTCGAGGCCAACATCATCAAACCAACCTACATACCCACAAAGGAAATGCTGGCCGACGTGTGTACAAAGTCACTTCCTCGTCCACAACATGAGTATCTTAGAAGTTTAATTAGATCTTAGGATGTTTGCGATTGAGGGGGGGTATTGAGATAACATTGCAATAGCCAACATCCCGATTAGGAAGTATAACCACCATTCCGAATTGGTCATGGTATCCAACAACTCCTAACTCCTTCTCTTCGTTATAGTCATATGTTTTATATTTGTCCCAAAGCAGTGAATGAGAGTCGCAATCCTGATGAGATATTATTAACCTATGTATCGGAAAGTTAGCTATATAAAAGACCGTTGTTTGCGTGCAGTAATTGTTTCCTCACTCAAACTCTTATCTTGTGTCTTTTTTCATTCCGTGCTACCTTCCAACAGGTGCATATCTCACTTTCATCACTCATTAGTGATAGTAGCCTCAGCGCTCTTTTGACATCACTAATTCGTGATCCTTTACCAGGTGCATATCTCACTTTCATCACTCATTAGTGATAGTAGCCTCAGCGCTCTTTTGACATCACTAATTTGTGATCCTTTACCAGGTGCATATCTCACTTTCATCACTCATTAGTGATAGTAGCCTCAGCGCTCTTTTGACATCACTAATTCGTGATCCTTTACCAGTCACGCGCCCATTCCTTACTTTATTAACTATAAGTAAGAGCGGTCTAAGATCGATTATCGATTATAACAGACAGACGCCACTCACCTAAATAAGAACGGTCTAAGATCGATTATCGATTATAACAGACAGACACGACTCACCTAAATAAGAACGGTCTAAGATTGATTATTGATTATTGGAATTATCGATTATTGGAGAGTGATTGATTTTTAAATGGCCAGCTGATATGAGGTTGAATGGGCGATGGGTTTAACAATAAGGAAGGGAAGGAATCGAGGAAATTTGGATAGATGGATAGATGGTTGACTAAGTCTTGTTTATAGCGCTGATGTGTGGGAGAGTAGAGCACTTGTTCTATGCTTTTCCTTTCCCGTTGACAAAAAAGGAAATGCTTTGCTCCGCTTGATCAGGTCGTCGCGCCGATGTGTGAGAGAATAGAGCCTCTGACCTGTACTTTTCCTTCCCTGTCAACGAAAAAGGGAATAATTTGATGTGCTTTTGGCTGCTCTGTGACCTCCTTCCTGCTATTTTCTGCTCGATGCAACACTCTTCATTTATTTTTTTCAACGCTTATAGAAGATGATATCATAGACACCAGAGCACAGCGCTTTTAGATGGAGACAATACCACGTGGCAGAGTAACAAAACACAATTCTGAACAGAACAATCAAACCGTCGGTCTCTTGTTCAGACTTTTTTCTTACTTCATAAACTTTAGGGAATTTGTCTCTTTGGTTTTTAGATACCATGTATCTTGGTTGTACGCGTAACGGCCACAGAGGCAGCTTTTTTAATTAATCTAACTAAGAAAGACTTGAAGAATCAGACTGAACTACATGATAAGAAGATCTGTGAAAAAGGCGGAATTCTGTGGGCGGCCTACATAACATGTTCTGACCCTTTACAATATTAAAGACAATTTTACTAATAAATATATTTGAGATTAAATTAAAAAAGATAACAAATAAGTTTGTGAACGTATCAATAAACATAACAGTAGTAACAATAATAGACTAGCCAGGGTGGGAGGGAGGTAAATGAAATTCAGATGAAAACAAATGTTTTATCGAAAAACTTTTTCAGGATAATGACTTGGATGTAAAATTTTATAAATTATGATAATATGAATTTTCTAGACAAGGATGACAACGTGAGGATTTTTAGGGAAATCATACTTGACTCATCCTAGATCCTATCCTTTACGGATTAGAAGAGTTATCTGATCCTTTGAGATGATCAGCTCTGTCTAGTAGTCTGATAGGAATGGAGGAGAGTTGTCCACCCGTCTACATTATCCGAAAAACCCTTTCCCCGACCTATTCCCGTATGTCAATACGAGTACCGACTTCCAACATGAACCATTCTCCCAGTACCTCTCACAGGGATTAACAAAGTCGCAAACTGGTAGCACCAGTCATGTGCCACATCTTTCGATACAGCTTCATGCCAACTTTGATTTTTTTTCTTACATTTATTGGATTCAATTTCAAAGAAGGAATCGATGAAGAGCCTTTTACACAGAGAGAGAAATCTAAAACAAATTTTGCAAGCCTCACTGCTGATCACATAACACATACTTGCGATTGTACAAATAATTTTGCAAGCCTCACTGCTGATCACATAACACATACTTGCGATTGTACAAATAATCTTGCAAAAATCATGACCAATGATTTTGACTTATAGGTCAATGTTGTTGTTTTGGTAATGTGGCTCAATAGTCATAGAAGCCTCGTCCGTTCTTTTTACCTATAAACTCAATCAAAATTAGAATCATAGACATTTACATGTTTCACATGTAACTGATGCAGAGAAATGCTCTTACCAAGCCAACCAGCGTCAACCATTCGACCCAACAGGACTGATGGACGGTATTTACTATCACCTGACTCATGGTGCAATACTTGCATTATCGACAAACATGTGTCAAGACCGATGCTAAACAATGACATGACTGGTCAGTCAACCAGTCACCGACAAAGCTTAGGGTTCTGGGCTACACACAAGTCAGCAAGTGTCAAAGGGCCCATGGGCACATTGGTACCACGCTTCATTGTGTTGTCGATATCTTCACGGGTCGCAACTCCCTGTTATCCAATAAGATATAACGTCAAAATAAGTAAAGAACGTATATGCTGACCAAGGAAGTGTTTGTGCTTACTTGTTCAAGACAAATAATTGCTTCGTTGATCCTGTTGCAAGTGGGATAGAATCAGAACCTTGGATCAGGAGTTGGATCGAAACATACAGATGTCACTTGAACATACATTGGCATTAAAACCTGAAGAAAAGAGCATTGCGTTAGATTCTGATCCTAGTATCATAGACTAGTCTTAAAATGAAAGGCTCTCAACTCGGTTGGAGATAAAACCTGGAGTGTCTTGTGAGACAGTCACAACCTTTCCACATCCTTCAACAAATCTACGTGCACGATCCAGTACTTCAGGACTAGTTTGGAGTGCCGATATAACCTCGACTACCGTCATCACTGGCACCTTCACATGGGCCGTATGTAGGATCCATTTTGTAATATCAGCCTTGACAGTTCTGGTGTATCATCCATAGAGAACTAGCCAAGATTCGAATTTATCTACATTCGAGTAATGGAGAGTTACTTACCGGATTGAAGAAATGCAGACCAATGACTCTCGAAGCCGATTGATTATTATCAGAAGCAGATTCACGTCGAGTATCCACAGCAGATGCAGCAATCTTAGTCAATGAAATCGACGATGTGTTAGAAGCTAGAATCGTATCCGGTCGGCAGATCGATGCAAGTTGAGAGAAGATCTTCTGCTTCATCGACAAGTTCTCTGCTACGGCCTATACCATACACCATTCAGAGGAAGGACATTTCAGGTCAGTATGCGATTACCCTTGATCAACTTTGACATGTCCATGAGACTCAACTTCTATGACCAGATCAACATCAGCCACCGAAGACAAGTCATCCACCGCCTTAACTCGTTCTCGCGCCTGATGAGCTTCTTCTGAAGTTATCTTCTGTTTGCTCACATCCTTCTCAAGAAGCTTATCTGTAATTCACAACGGATGAGTTTCAGTATCTGGTCATGAAGAGCCTAGACAGACTTTCACAGGATTCAGGATTTTGTCGCCTGGTGTGAATTACCGCCGATCGTTGGAAGACAAAGATATGATGTCATAGTAGTGATCACAGACCTATGAATCCCAATCCTTTGTCTCTGGCGACCGCCGAATGGTCACTTAAAAGAACTTTTACCCGTGCATTCTGGACAGCCAAAGTTCATGTCGATTGTAAGATCAATAATCTAATTTCAGATCAAAGTATGAATTCAATTGGCACACCTTTGCAGCCACTAATGCAATCCCAGTCCCCATCTGACCTAAATTTTCAAAATCGAAAACAAAGTCAGGTTTACTCCCTCAAGTCGTCTTACAAGATCTCCAGCTTGTACCGATTTCAGTCAACATACGCCAAGTAATAGGTCAAAGAAGCGCTCGCGAGAACATCTTCAACATACCTGCTCCAATGACCGCAATAGTCTTGATGGGCGATGTTTCATTGCATGCAACAGTCGTTCCATGAAAACCGCGATGTGGCTTCCAGCACCGCATAGGACATAGCGAGATTTTAAGTGACGTGATGGCGAAAGCACGTTGCATGGGGTGAAGGATGGCTATGACCATTGTCAAGTGGAGATGAGAGGCTCACAATCAAATAGGAAAAGGCAATCTTAGCGTTTCAAACGCATGCATGGGACAGCGGGGAATCAAAGCGGGAGTGTTCCCCGGACGGGCCCGGGTAGTCTTTCAAGAATGTCCATTTTGCAATCATCGGGGTCGGGAAGCTGGGATACATTGTGATGATGTTCCTCAATCAGTCAGCCAAGACCTGCAACCACTCGATTCAATTCTCTATCCAATTGATTTCATTTTTTTAGTAGTTGATGTCAGGCAGCTCAAAATATGCTCGCTTAGGAAATTTCAAAAACCAAGTAGATAATGGAGACTTCAGATATGTGAAACCAGCATAGTTTTGATCATCAAGGCCCAAGTCAAAGTGACTACATACATTATCACGCTGGAAAACTCATGTGAAAAGAAATGATTGCATTTGTTTTAGTAAAGATATGAAGAGTATGAAGTTACTTGGAGCCAGGAGGCTCTTTTGCATTACTCGTGATTTTCAATCCCAAAGAACCCAAATCACTGAGATTTCATACCTTCACGTAAAACGAGTTGATTGCAGTCCATTTTTTTGGAATTAGATGATATTTCACGGGAGCTTTGAAATGAGTGTATCAGGTCCTTTGAACGGTACAGACACGATTTGGCCAAGCGCAACTGACCGACAGGCATGTAATCTTATACTTCAATCTCATAGTTGGTATGTACATTATCTACAAACACCAACGAGAGGGCACCATGCTGGTTTGCCACGATCATTGAATATGCGCTTGATGGTATACTGATCAATCTTATCGACTATTACATTGTGTATCATAATGAATTATATACCACAAACTAAGATAATAAATTGGTCATGAAAGGACAAAAATCAGTTAATGAGTCGAGCTAGAACGTCTTGGAAGCCTCATCTTGACTTACCGCTGGTGATCCTGGTTCAGCCACTTCAATAATGGCCAGATTATAACCTTCCCGTTCTCCTGGTTTCGATTCGTTCTCCGTACGAGCATCCTCAAATAATTTGACTTTCTTCACAGCTTCCACCGTACTTTCAAGTTCGATAAGGTCATACTTGAGTGTACGCTTCAGGTATCCTAATGAACGTTGAAGTACATCTGTTTCATCAAAGCTGAGAGCCCGTTCCAAGGCAGAGGCGCCCAATTCTCGGATTCGAGTCTTCATAATCATAATGAATGGCACTATCACGTCATTTCGACGTCAGCTTGATGTGTCAAGAAGTTTTGTGTACCAGAAAACTTTACTCACTTGTCTTTTTCTCCTTGAACAATCCTTCCTTTTCCAACTCAGCCCTCATAGCTTTCTCATCAATCATACCAGTCGATTTATCAAAATGACGTGCAAGAATCTCTACACACTGACTCTGCCACTTTGGAAACTCTTTAGAGACAAAGATCCTAAGAGCCTTTGGCTTGGTTGCATCAAAGGTAAGTTGTGATCCTGGACCAGCGCCACCTTTAGCTTTAGCTTTCCGTTTCCCAAGAGCCAATTCTGTCGTCCGGATCTTTCGAACCGTCTCTTTGACATATTCAGCAGCGTCGATCACTGCCCTCTCAATCTCCCGAGAAGGAGTAGGGAAACGAGCCCTTTGGATTGTATCGGACTCACCGAGCACGTTGGTCCAGATGTGCTCAGCAAAATGTGGAGTGATGGGTGTGATCAACAAGGTCTGAACACGGACATAATACTTTAGTAAGTCTGCGTGCATCCCACCCTCTTCTGCGGTAAAGTCGCGATACCAATCGCGAGCGCCCAAGAGCTCGTAAAAGCCCGTTTTCTGAGCTTCTTTGTACATCGATCTGTTCACACAGACGAGGAAGCAATAGTCTCAATGAGTCAATGGCTCCTTGATACGAATATGAGCGTGTGACACAGAGACCTACGCTTCATATGCCTTGTATGATTTCGTGATTGCCAAATTGATCTCGTTTTCAAAAATCCGATCAAAAAGGTTATATTCACCACTACGGAATGTATGGTTGTTTGTGATGACATCCTATGATACGAAATTGAGAGTAAACAATCAGTTGTCGTCTATGTGATCGGCTTTGTAAAAAGTCAAGAGCGATCCACTGAGAAGGTTCACCACATCGACTTACCTTTGACCATTCCGCCAAAGTATGTAGCCTCAAAATTGAAGCATTAGCAGATAGCTCTTCAAAATTGGCATCATCAAATCCATCTCCAGCATCAGCCAAGGCAACCCGTGTTGCATCCGCGCCGAATTTCCGAAGACTGTCACGAAGGGTCAAAGAATTTCCTGTCGACTGGATTCAATCGATCGAGTTGTGTGATATTACATCAGTGAAGGGTAGAATGAGCAGCGAGGATTTGAGATCAAGAAATACCTTGCTCATCTTCTTCCCGTTCAACATCAGATGTCCATTAGCCCTCATAGTGCGAGGCCAAAACTGTTCATCAAAGAGTGCAGTGTGAACGTAGATACAGAAAGATAAATGGTTCGAGATTAAATCTTTTCCACTACTGCGGACGTCCATCGGGTAAAAATAACGGAATTCGCGTCGCATGATATCAGCTTTGTCTTTCGACAATGGCTCTACGCCTGGGTTGGTTTGCTGAGATGGGAATGTAACCTCATCTGTACCAAATACATAATCCCACACTTCATCGGACATTTGGTCAGGTGTAACACCCAATGGCCCAGTGGTGGTACCAAAAATATCGCCCGCTTCTCCGGAAGATGGGCCATGGAGTAGATGACTGATTGTGTAGTATGCCATGTAAATCGTCGAATCGGATAAGGACTCGACTAAGAACTGGGGATCCCAAGGCAGCTTAGATCCCAACCCATAACTTCGAGCACAGGCCCACTGATGCAGCCAGTCGAGATCTTCTTGAAATTTCTTCTTCGTAGAGGGATCGCGGATGTTCATGCGCTCAAGTAACCTGTGCAACGGGCATTAGAAAACGTATGCGTAGGTCAAACAGCTCACTTGCACGACTCACTTGAACGCCTTAGCCTGCCAAGCAGGTTCACCGTAATCAAGATACCACTGATCACAAAGAGCGACCACACACTCATCTCCGCTCCGACTAATGATTTGTCCTTCAGGCTCGCTGTAAGCAAACGCCAGTCCTTGTCCGATCATTTCCTCACGGACTTTAGCTTTAGCCTTCTCAACTGGCTCCCCAGCAAATTTTCCTACGAGCATCTTGCCTTGATAGAAACCAGCCTTGTAGGCTCGCTCCTTGGCTTCCGCAAGTTTGACAGAATCCTTTGGAGAGTCAATCTTCAACATTTCGACTAGTTTAGGAGCAGACATATCCCCAAACTCTTCCGTACTCAGCACCGGAACCGGGTCGAACGCAATCCATGCGGGATCGATCTTGAAGTAGGCCGCCTTCTTTCGAAGATGCATGAGATTAATATAATCGTCCGGGGAATCAGATGGAACGGAAGTCACAACACCAGTCCCTTTTGTAGCCAGGACGGTTTCCATGGGTAAGATATAAACTGCTTGGTGGACACCATTGGGTGCATTGATCTTCGTCCCGATGAGGTCTTGACCGCTAACTGAGATTAATTGCGGTGCTACGCCACGAGTGGAGGTAAGGTTCTGGAAAGACATGTTCCGAATCGATCGCTCCGTGCAAAGATAGACTGATCCATCCTTTGCTTCGAATAAACCATATTGGATAGACGGTCCCACAAAGCAGTTGGTTTGTCCATACATCGTTTCAGGTCGGAGAGTAGCAGCGATGAAATAGACCTCCTTCTCAACCACCTTTTCTTTCAAGCTAGATGGAACGTTTGGACCCCATTCCATGACTCTCATCTTGATACATGTATATTCTTGAGGTCCCATACGTTCACCGCTTGATCTATCGTGATCCATGCAAGGTTGACCGTCCCTGGGACTATAGACCGTATATCGTTCGCCGAATTTCACGTAGCCTTTTTGACGGAGACGGTTCATTTGCCATCGGACGAAAGCATCGTAGTAGGGATTAATATCGGTGGTGATGAAAGACCTACGCCAATCCACTCGAGCGCCCAATGCATTGATATCATCCTAGGATAAAAGTGATCAGATCGACTGAAGATAACATTTGTGTATAAAAGCTCACCTTGGCAATCGGAGGGAAATAGGTAAGCCAGTATTGAGGATCGGCAAACTTTTTGATTTCTTCTCGTTTGACCCCGATACTTTCCATGATTTGGAATTGATATTGAAGTCCGGTAGATTTAGCTTGAATTTTACCCTTTTTGGCTTTACTCTTGTCAGCACCCTCACTCTCAGCCTTTACTTCAATTGTGGTGATTTCTTCAACTACTGCCTCAGGGTTGACAAACTTTTCCAAATCGTTTCCAAAGAGTTCTAACTCTCGAATGATTTTATCAGATGCTGACTGGTACAAAATCCATCAGTCTAATGCACATAAATACCAGATAGCATATTTAGTCTGCTTACTTTGATCGGCATTCCTGTAGCATGCCAACCTACAGGGAATAGCGCACGTTTTCCTCTCATTCGTTCAAATCCAACAGCAAACTCTATCTTTGAGATCGTAAAGGCATGACCGAGATGGAGGGAACCATTCATGTAAGGGTATGGAAAGGTCCCGAAGAATTTGGGATATCTGAGCTTGATCGTCAGCTGAGATCGATGATTTGGATTGAGGGTATTATTATTGCACCCACTTTTCTCGTAGTTGATCGGGGCTCAAATCTGTCAAAGTTGAATCATTGACATGTGGAGAATCGGTCTAAAGAATGTAGAGGATCGTCAAGTGTCTTTCAAAGTACATAGGAATTGTTGAAAACAGCTACCTCGAAAACTTTCATTTGTGCCCATTTGAGTTGTGCATCTTTCTCGAATTTAATCAAATCGTCCCGCTTCGTAAACTGCCAAGATTTAAGAATTTCGTCAGTGATCAGAAAGTCTTAAGGATAAGCAGTTCTTTTCTTTACATTTTCACCCATATTCAAAGTGGCCTCCTTCTGTTTTTGCTCCATCAAAGCCTGAACCGATGGTTTTCCGGCTGACGAAGCCATGACTGAGTATCGTGCCAAAGGTTGATGTAAAAGATGTCGAAGATATGAAGTCTTTTGTTTGAAGTTCACAGATGCCGTTGTGAAGTGAAGGAGACTGATCAGCTTGATCAGAATTTAGTCAAGCGATGATTTCCAATTTCAATAAAAGCAGTGGAGATGCATTCATAGACCGTCACAGTGTCACTTTTTTGTCAGAACCCTTCTAACTCAATACTCGTGTAGAGCTTTGAGGAAGTATGGGTTTTGAACACCACCCATTCGGGGAATCGGGCGGGGCCAATTTGAGGAAATCTCAAGATACCTCCTCAATGCATTACCCCATACCCAGAAGCAAATTCATCGCGGCAGCGTCTCCCAAAAAAAAGAAAACAAATCAGGTGGAGACAGATTTTCACATGAGGACGGCATGAAGAGCTCCAGACCAGCGTTCAGGCTGTGACTTAATCTAGAAAGACATATTTGCCTTAAAAAAGATGAGGTGGAAAACCTTTCAGAGAAGGATGGCCTAAGCATCAGGCAAATTGACTTCATCATACTACACCATTGGTTTTTTTCTCAAAATTTCTCAATTTCTTTTGATTATTCTCACCATGTTTCCATGATTCAGAATGTTAATAGCACCTTTGACTTCGTCTTTTACGCGGTGAGCTAACAGGAAAGCATATCACATCTACTGCCGTACATATGATCTTTTTGGGTCTTCGGACGGATCTATGTAAACCTGGGAGCACCACACCCCCAAAGTTAAAGAATACAACTTTCTAAACTCAAACCTACCCATGAAGCGCCAATGGTGCTGCTGAATTATCAAAGTGTCTTCAGAATGCTTGCAATATTAAGCTACCTTTGAATACGATTTGAGAATAAGGATTGGTTTGAGCTTTTGTTGAAAAAGTAGGAGCCAGCAAGATAATCTACAATCCACGAATCAAAGCGTCATGTTCATCAAGCAGGCAACTCACCTGGTTTATAAAGAGACCCATCTCTTCTGTCTCCCCTCTTCTGGGCATAATCCTAACTTCTTCTGGTGATCACAATTAACTCCTATAACTCGCCTCTTGTTTATACTCTCTCTAGGTCCAACGCTGTCACATTCATTTCAACATGCATATCTCTGTTACCTTCCTCATTGTCGCCGTTGCAGCTAATGATGATGTTTTCCATTCTAGACTTTTGCCGCGCTCATTCTCTCTCCTTGTTTCAATTTACCACTGGCTGAATCTGATCACATTTAGGCCACTTGTGTTCTTTGATATTTTCTTGTGTGACATGTTTATGAATTATCTGGTTGTCTTCTCATTCTTTCAGCTCAAGTGTGATTGTGAATTTTTCCCAAATCTTGAATTGTGAATTCAATGAAATGAAGTTTTGTAGAAGAATGGATGAGGTGTCAAGATGAATCCGAATGAAAGTTGAATTTGAATTGAAACCTAGTTGGTGTATGGGATTATAGAGACTTCATGAGACCGAGATCGATCGGAGTGATGTGAGTGTATGGGATTAGACTGTATTTTGAATTAAACTCACTTGTTCTGTGTTGGATTGAACTTCCACTTCTTTTGCCCTGAACACTCTTCTCACTCTCACTCTATCCTCACTCTCTGTTCTCAAAAGTTCAACAACATCCTATCCATCTTTCTCAACTTCATCTCATCAAATCAACTTATCATCAATCAATCAACTTATCATATCAACTTTGAATCCAAAGAAAAACACTCAATATGTCTACCACCCGTTCAACTCCACAACGGATGACACGTCGATCTACCAGATCACCTCCAGTCTCATCTTCAAATCAATTCAATACCTTCACAACGGCTCTTAATCGAACTTCTAATACACCACAAAAACCAACAAGAACAAATGAATCAATAATCAAAAAACAAGAAACTCAATCTAACAAACCTACTTTACCAATCGATAAGAAGAACTCTCTCTTAGATCGTGGTCGAGTTCGTTCTGTAAAAACTCAACTCATTCCACTTGAAAATAATTGGTCAATCACTATTGCTCGGGTTAAGGTGCCTACTACTTCGGGTGTTTCGGGTCATCTTATCAAACGTTTCGATACCAATGCGATCTCTGCTAGTAGTTTTTTTAGAGCTGCTTTTCCTGATGCAAGTGTAGAAGATGAACAAGCTCATATGTCTTATTTTACTGATGTTTACGATACGGCTACGGCTGGTGGTGATCATATCGGACCAGAGTGTAAGCTTACTGGTACCTGGTAAGTTCTTTTCTTCACATCTTACTTTCTTTCCTTTGACTCATCAGACTTGAACCTTTTTGACTGGTTTTGCTTGATTCGGTTTCAGGGTACCTGTCGCTCATGCAGAATCGATTGCAGAGTGGTATGGGCTATCAAAGTTTGCTGCCGATCTCATCACCTTCCCTGATCCCAACAATGGATCAGCTTCACCTATGGACCCTAAAACAGGTTTAAAACAATCTGAATCGAGTCAAGTCACCAATTCTGATCCACCTCAAGCTGCCGAGTCGACTCCTGTACCTAAAATGGTGGGCACACCTGGGACGCGATCTATCAAGCGTCCTCGTGTGGCACCTCCTAGTTTCGGTAACACTAGCCCTTCTCACTTTAGTCTATCTGCGGCTTCGGTTTCAGCTACTTCGAATGAAGCTCCAGGAATTGACCAATCGGCTACCATTGACGAAGCCGATCCGACTGAAGAATCTATGTTTATCTCTAACGACGAAGGCGAAGAACCTGAGCAAACGTCTCTTCAAGTGACTGTGACGCAAACATCTATGAATAATCGAATCGACGAAGGGATGACTACTACCACTACCGCGACTGCTTGTGTTATTGGAACCGATGAGCAAGTCGAACTTGCTAAACGAGACGCCTTGAATTTAGTAGCATCACTTCAAGAAAGTGCAGCCGCTCAGAACCACTCATCCAATGAATGGAGTCAAAAGAAACGAGGCCTTGAGCAAACAGAACCCATTATTACAACCACTCGTGATACAGATGAAGAGACCGTCTTAGCAGCACCACCACCTAGAGGTCTCTTTGCTCGATTCTGGTCACGTAAAGCGAATGCAAAGAAACGTGAAGAGATGGCTAAAACATTGAATAAACAATCCAGAGAGATCGCATCCCTCCCGACTCATCCTGTCGTACCTCCAGTCACATCGGTGACCAAGAGAAACTTGGCTGTAGCAGGAATCGTGGTAGCAGGCGCAGCTGCGTAAGTCTTGTTTTTCTGATATTGGTTTCTAGGTTGATTATTGACTAAAGATTTTAAATATATGACTTTTTTTATATAAAGTTCGATCGCACCTTATTTCTTTTGAATAAGATACCCTCTATATATGAAATCTATTAAGGACTAAATTGAAAGTCTTTTGTAGAAATGTGGAATATGTATATAAGGATGAAAAAACTCAATCAAAAAATCTTAATCTTTATATATATATTTTGTTGAATTCTGTAAGGCATCTTTTTTTTCCAAAAAAACAAACATAAGCCTTGTCCTATTGTTTTTTTTGTTTGTTATTTCATATCATTTGGGTTGAAAGAAAAAAGAACAAGAAGATTATGGAAAGAAATATCTGTGCTTTTTGTTTTTGTTTTGGTTGGGTTTGAAAATTATAATGACGAGAAGAAAATGAAGAAGAGGGGATCTGCGGGGGTTTTAGGTTTATAAACTTTTTTTTGTTCTTTTTGCTTGCTTTTCTATTTTGATCTCTTTTTTTACACTCTTTGATAACCTTTTTTGTTTCTTTTTGAAACCTGATTTATAAACACTAATTTCAATTCATTACAAAACAGAAAATTTGTTTTCATTATACGTTTCATATATTCTGTTTTCTTTTTACATTTTATCAATTTCTTTTTTCTCTCTCTCTTCCTTATACGAGAATCTTTATCCAGTTTTTTCTGTTTCCTTTTTTTCTAAACTGTTTGTCTTTTTTTTCTTCTTCTGCTTTGGAAGAGATATATAGGAGATTGAAAAGGTTTTGGAAAAAGGGTTGGTTCGGAAGTTTATACTTTTTATTTTTAATTATTTACATATTCGGATTTGAAAGAAATTGTTTGTTTGTTTTTTTGGTCATGAAGCTTTTTTTATATCAAGATGCTTCTTTTTTTATGAAGGTGGTTTTGGAAAAGGGTTTGAATTTAATTTATCGAGTTTTATTTTGGATTACTTTGAATTCAATCAGAGTTCTTATATCTCCTTGAGACTTTGATTGAACATGAGGCCCAGGGGGTTAAAGAAACCAAAATCTATCTGACACTCCGTCACCCTTCGCATTGAGGGGCCGGTCAAGACACTCACGTTCGCACCTCGTACACCTTCGACTCGCCCCATGGTGTAGATACTTACCATTCTTCTTTTTTCGAATGCATGGCTCAAGTGCTCTCACTTCAGATGTACAATCTCTCAAAACCCAAGTATTTGAATCGCATATATTTTCAGTCGTTCTCAACGTCCCTTCACTCTTACACTAAACTTCAAACTACATGTACGAGCTCATACGAGACCTGAGGTCGAGGACGATCATGAGAGACTATGTGGGAAGGGCCGCGGGGATATACTTCTGGAAAAAGCTCCTTCAGATGGCCGTAGAAAAAAGAGGCTTGGTGACTACTGCATATACGCTCACAACTGCTTGGAACGACGCGTCCAGAATTGAAACAACTTTTCAAGGAAACAAAATCTAAAGGCACTTGCACCGAGATCGATCGACAAGAGTCTATAGTGAAAATGCAATTCCAGTCAACGTTATGAGAGGGTCTATATATCACAAGAAGAATGAGCCTACATACTAAGCAAAGCCTCATTTAGGATCCCGGCCAATAGCCACAATCGATGACATACTTTGCCCTAAGCGTCTCGACCATCTCATCAGGATTGTTAATGTCCGTGACCGTATGACCTGAGCAGGGAGTTTTTGTATCCGGACCTAGCAAGTGAGAGATATGATGAAATGGAAGATTTGTTAATAGAACAGATAATTTCACGTCAACTTCTTTTTCCTTGTAAGATTTGATTTTCTTTCTTTGAAAACATGATTAAACTTACACCAGTATTTACAAAATGTCTTTTGACCTCCATATTTATGGTCCTTAATACCTGTATTCCAATCCGAGCCGGTGCATCCGCTACCCATCTGAGCCTTGCCACCGTAGCACAGGCCGTCAGCGGTAAATGCAGCCTTATTGCTGACATATGCCCTCCCATCGTACACGCAGATTATACATTTGCCAGCCGAAGTGAGCGTAGCAAGGAAAACCAATAAGATAGCAAGATTGATGAACAGGTATGTTGGAATGCGAGACATCATGGAAAAAGAAGTCGTGATGATCGTGATAAATAATGGAGTCAAAGCTTTAAACCATCATTTTAGATGGAAATGGGTGAAGTTCAAGTGTTTAAATACAAAGGAAGATGTGAATATTTAGTAAATATACTGCACCCGAAGATTTTGGAAACTCAATGATATGGTCAAGGAACCATCTTTATTATTTGAACTGTTTAAACACCCCAAGCCGCAAGTTGATTGCTGGGACCTTTCAAAGGTGTTTGCAAGCCAAGTTTTTGCCAAAAGCCAGAAACTTACTTGATAGGGATGGATTTTGCGATTTTGACGATGCTCTTTCAGTTTAAGCGCATATTTCTCCTTCATTCGGAATAAATCCATCCTTCAATCAGCACACGCCCTCCACATTTGGTGGTGGGCGAGAACCGGCTGTGAGTGGTGGAGAGGGCTAATAAATAGGAATAGTCAAACTACATCAACAAAATGTAAATACAGTGCTGCTGCTTCAAATCCAAGATGGTGATAGGGCTCATCAAGTATCGGAGTAACATATCGTTGGAAACATGGCAAACACAAAGCGACGAACTCAAAAATCTTCATCTCTGAACAACTTTGTCTGCGACGTAAAGTGATCTTGACAAGTGAGGAGAATGGTAAAATTTGAAAAATGAAGCCAGACAACTTAGGACCGGATACCTTCCCATTTGGCTAGCCAAGGTAGAGCTGTTTTTCGAGAATGAAGAAACTACGTTGGAGAACATACGTGGAGCACTGGTTTGAAGTCGATGTTTGGGGAGCTTCAAATGATGACCCTGCGTGCAGTATGTTTGGCTCACATTCGATCATAGAGCTTTCCTTACATCCCCGAGACATACAAACATAGAAGTTGTAGGGAATTCAACTTTGTGGAGCTTTCTCCACTGATTGTCGTAAAGTTTCAAATGAGTTTATCAGAGACTAAGTCCCGCATCCTGCGTATCAAATCGATCCTAGATAACGACGGTCTTATCAAGAATGAATGGTGATCGATGGATTATGATTGGGATCAAGGATTTGTCAATGATGGATTCCAACATCAGAAAAGGAAATCACCCTCTCCATCGTCAATGATTTTGTGAGTCGCCTTGTAAATACTTACTTTGGATTGGTCTCTCATGTCAACGAGTTCGATCAATTGATAGATACATAGTTCAATTTGTAAGGCTGTAAGTACATAGAACCGCTTCTCGAACCAGACCAGAAAAAAAGCAGAATAAGTTTGCAAGTCAATTCCTATTTTCAAGCTCTTCAAGACCAAAGGAAAAAATTGTAATTCGTCTTGCGACTTTTTACTGTACCTTCGAGTGATTCATCGATATGGAACCGAAATCGAGTTTAGAAAAAATCAAATTTACCACTCCCGATACACCTTCTACGTCTCCATCGGATCTCGATCAACAACTTTTAGAATCGCTTGGTTATCGACAGGAGTTCAGACGAGAGTTTGGACTTTGGACTACTTTTGGTGTCAGTTTCACTGTTTTGGGTTTACTACCTAGCTTTGCTGCTACCATGAGTGTTGGACTCGCTTATGGAGGAACGGCAGGTGTGTATCGAGATATTTCGAATTAAAAATCGAACTTGGAAATTTACGGTTCTAGTACCTGTGCTGAGATAGAACATTTCTCTTCGCAACACATTTTCGGAATGAGGTATGGTATGGGGATGGCTAATTGCAATGGTACCTATCCAGTGTGTAGCTATGAGTATGGCAGAACTTTGCTCATCAATGCCAACCAGTGGAGGATTATATTATGCAACAATGGTCTTAGCACCAAAAGATTATGGACCGTTAGCTGCTTGGTTAACAGGATGGTCGAATTGGGTTTCACAAGTCACCAATTCACCTTCCATCAATTATTCTTTAGCTTCAATGATCTTTTCAATTATTTCAATCTGTAAACCAACCTTTGAGTCAACACCTTGGCAAATCTTCTTACTTACTTGTTTATTAACTTTTCTTCAGACTTTGATATCTGCTTTACCAACTCGAACTGTGGCTCAATTCAATACTTATGGTTCGATGTTCAATGTTGCTGCTCTTGTGATTGCTTTGATCATCATTCTAGCCAAAGCTGATCGAAAGGACATCAACACTGGAGTCTCATTACCTCGGTTCGCTTCAACAAAAAAAGTATGGGGTGAAATTCATAATGGTACTGAATTTCCTGATGGTATTGCTATCATGATGTCATTCGTGAGCGTGATTTGGACGATGTCTGGTTACGATTCTGCTATGCACGTATCAGAAGAATGCTCAAATGCGGATATAGCTTCTCCGCGTGCTATTGTTGTTCGTCAACTTATATTTAATCATTCGAAATCAAGATTTCTGAACACTGACGAGATCAACTCTCAATTGATCAATCACTTCATCTTTATGATCACAGATGACGTCTGCTGTTGGTGCGAGCGTTGGATGGATCCTTCAAGTAATCGTTGCTTATACAATTGTGGATATCGACGGAGTTTTCGGTTCATCACTTGATCAACCTTGGGCTTCTTATCTTTTACAAATCTTACCTCAAAATCTCACCATCTTAATCTTAATCCTAACAAGTATTTGTGGTTTTTCGATGGGTCAAGGTGGAATGGTTGCTGCGTCAAGAGTTACTTATGCTTATGCTCGTGATGATTGTTTTGGAACTTGGCTTTCACCTTGGGTTAGACAAGTCAACAAAAAAACTTCAACTCCTGTCAATGCAATCTGGTTTAATGCATTTGTTGGAATCTTATTAGCAGTGTTAATCTTAGCTGGTGATACTGCAATTTCTGCTGTTTTTTCTATTGGTGCAATCGCCTCTTTTGTTGGTTTCGCTATTCCAATCGCATTGCGTGTTTGGTTTATTCCTCCACATACTTTCAAACGTGGTCGTTGGCATTTAGGTAAATGGAGTAGACCTATTGGTTCTTTTGGTGTTATATTTGTGATTGTTATGATTCCTATCATGTGTCTGCCTGCTCAACGTGGAAAAGATCTCACGTAAGTACCAAGATCACATCAAACTTCACAGAATATTGACATTGGGATCTTCTTAACAGACCAGCCTTGATGAATTGGACGGCCGTTGTTTATGGCGGCTGGATGATCTTGATTCTTATCTGGTGGATCCTGAGTGCACGTCATTGGTTTCGTGGTCCAAAGTTGAATGTTGAACATAGTCAATCAACTGTAAGCAAGTGTCATGATTAACCTTCACAACTTTTCAATCATTTTTTTATTTGATTGACGTCTTGTTGAATGATATGTTTTTGGTCTTTGATTGATTGAGAATAGCCAAAAATAATGTGACAGATTTTCTTATTCCTAAAATATGTACAAATATTAGTTTTGTAAGAATACAAGAGATTGTGATTTGATTTTATACAAGAGAGAAAAGTATATATGTATGAATATCAAAATTTGATCTGATTGTAGATCATCCAGAAGTGTTGATGTTCAATAAAACACTAATTGACAACTCCCCAAATCTTTTGCTAATTATCATTGATTACAGGCACAAGAGACAGGTATCACAAGACCAAGACAAGGTTGCATTTACTTTAAATCACATTTGCCATAACTGTCTCCCCATCCAAAAATGCACTTAGAACTTCCCAAATGGTTGTTGTAAAGTCATACAAGTGATGCTACTAAAAAAACATACCATGATGATGATTTAACTGCTTATAGGTTGCAAAATTGAAAAGGTTGATGTTGTTTTTCCTGACATACATGGATTGAACAGATCATGAGGTCTACCTGAAGAAGCAGTTCAAAGCAGCCAAAAATCACTTTTTAAGCTTGGTGAAAAAAGCATTGCTCAATACATCGTGATTTGTGATCATGAATCAATATCAAGAATTCATTTCAACTTGAAACATGGAATGAGATCAGAAAGAGATAGTGTCAGGTCTAAATCTGAAAATTGAAGAAAAATATCTGGAATCTTTACTGTTTGAGTACTAATACTATGTAACTCATATATTCAATTTTGAAGGCTGTTGCTATTTGCAGCCCACAGAAAACCCATGTAGGTGCTCCCCAAAATCTGCCTACATACATGGGTGTTTCACATAAAAAAGTGCCAGCATCCAATTTTGTGGGAATTTGCTATGTAGGCGCTTACACAAAGGACAATGCAAATTTTAAATGTTGTACATAGGAAATTTCAATGTAGGCACTTATTTCTAGCGCCTACAGTCTCAAACTGGTTGATAAGCACCTACTTTTTGAAATTGTTTGAGATTTTAAGCTGTTGAGGCATGTAGGCTTGAAAGTGAATGAAAGTTGATTCAAATCTTCAAAATCCATGTCTAGATCTTGAAAAGGGGTAAATGGAGCAAAGGGTCCCTGACACCGCCAGCATAAAGTATTTTTCAAGGGAAAAGTGATCACATTGAATGCATTGAATAATTAAAAATGCTTATTTGAGGCAGAATACATTCAACAAAATTGCCCAAGCCTTAATGAACATACCTTTAGATGATGAATCCTGCTGATGGATTACACTTCCACTCAAAATCTGTAATGCAGGCTCTCAAAAATCACATCTGCATTTCATTTTTTGAAAGTAGGCGCTTGAACAGATCCAGTAATTGGTATTGTTGATTTTTTGTCTTTTGAAAAAAGATTGGGATAGATCAAGAAAAGGTGTAAGGTCGAGTGATATCTTGACCTTCACTGTGGAGCAGGTCTCTCAATGGCCATAGCCAAAACTGATATGTTTGCAGATGTTGAGTAATTTGGAAGACAGAGTGCTGTAACTCGGCTGATTACTCATGTTGCTCGCGGTGCAAAGGGATACTGGGTAAGTTGTTGACAATCTTTGAGAGTCATCTGTTTACTTCGAGCTCAACTCTTGCCTTGTCCTTGTTTCGTTTCAGTTTCTAGTATTGTGGTACACAAATATTGTTCTGGCGATTTCCAGAACACTGTTTCCAGAACGCCAGAAGTATTTTCTTTTGGTGTGTTCTGGCATTCTGGCGTTCTGCAACTTTGAATGCCCCGGTTCATCCGCGGGGCCTGCAGCGGAAAGTTTATTTTTTTCCAGAACGCCAGAAACCTGCCCGAAGGGTTCTGGCGTTCTGGAAAAAACGTTCTGGAATTTGACAGAACAATATTTGTGTACCCTAATTCAGGTGGTGATTCAGGTGCAAGATAAGTATAAAGATCAATAAGGCTGGTCACACTAATTTCTCTTGATGTTGTTCCATAGCCGATGTAGCTGAGGTTTTTTTCTTTGGGTACATCAATCTAATGATGTAGATTCTCTTTGCAGATATGTAAAAGTCTCAGAACAAAGATCTAAGAGCTGGTTCATTTAAAATAGCCTTAAGTCTTGCCATTGAAATAGTAGTAGTAGCATCCTTTCCCCAACCTAACCTCTCAATGGATCTGGATGTAAATTATCTCGCAGGACTTGTCTACCTCCTGCTTGGCTTCCAGCCACAAAAGCTAAACCGGTGGCTTGGACAGATGGTGAAGCTCTATGATGAGGATTTATAGGCTCTGCTGAGTGAGTAGATGATGAGTCTCCTGCTTATTTTTGTTGTGATCCTTTGCTTTCCGAACCGTTCAACCTTCTTCCTTGATCAGTGATCCGATAAGTCACATTGGATCCATACTGAAAATCACCCTCTTGACTAGCTGAACCACGCGGTTCATTCATTAGGGACTGGGCAAAGCTCTGCAAAATTGCAATTCAACCGTAGTTGAAAGCGAGTTGCAAACAGCTAAGCCACTGTTCAATCAATATGAAATTTCCTTATTTTTTTTTAGTAAGCTTTATGGCACTAAAAAAAATAGGGTGGCGCACAGGCATGACCCTCCCTAAGACGAGCTGTCTATTCAAAATTTCCCCCCCCACCTCAGCCAAAAGCCTATGGTAGAACGCTTCTGGATAGCCTGATATACCTTTCACAGGTTGCTCTCGCTCTGGTTTTGGTGAAATCATCTGACAGTCGGGTCTCTTGGGCTTGCAGGAGTAATCCTGACACCTCCTGTTTGCATAAATCGCTTTGGTCGACTTCCAGGGGATTCATGCGCTTATTGAGGTGGCTAAATCCTCTGTCGGTCAAAACCTTGCCCAGTCCCTATTGGAGCTCGTACATTGACTTGTACTACCTTATCACCACCTTTGGATTTATCAATATGAAGAGTGAACAGACCATATCAAACCAAGTGAGTCAGAAGGTCTACAGCCTCTGTATGTCCACAACACATTGAGATTTCAACCAGTCTATAGATTTCACTGGTAGAAGAAAAGACCTGTTTTCATTCATTGAGAAAGTAGTAGCTGTAGTCGTAGTGACGATTCGAGATGGATCATCAGGATTGGTTATATTGATGTAAGGGGGATGTACAGGTCGAGATTGATGAATTGAAGAAGATTCTGAAGGATCTACATTTGTATCGCTCATAATGAATGCGATTCAAAGGAATGTATCGCATCTCATTACGACAAACAAATTGTTGTATCGATCAAAATTGATGTGATTCAAGGTATTATATCGCTCACGGGTTTGTATCACATGGTCACATGTGCAATGTGTAGTCGTATTGGGCTTGAATTTCTGAACTTGCCTTGCGAGTAACCATCACGGCTGATTATTATTGCTTTCAGCCTTGCGATCTTACGTCGCAAGACAAATTCAATCGCTTCATCAACATGCAATATAAAATCACATATTCATCATGATGCTTTTGAAAAATGTGATTTGCCATCGCCGGTATAAAGGCTATGTGTACTAGCATACGCACATGCAAAGTAAAAATGTTGGTGGTGTACACATGTACATCAGCTTGAAAGAATCCAGGATGACATGCTCGAGCATCAGAAGACCCTGATCTAAAAGAAAGATAGATATCCCCTTGAGCCTAGTTACATTCCAAGACCAAGGGATCAGAGACAAGCAACACCATATTGGTTACAGAAGACCATCATGAACTCGCACAGAAAACCCTTATGTGTTAGATCACAAAGAGACATGCATATATAAGCAGTGGTTTTCTGCTTCTCGAGAAAGGAACCATCATTATTACAAACCAACAAACTTATCCTTGAGAGATCAAACTCTATGACTTATACTAAAAACTGGCAATTACTTTTAATTTAGATCATCTCAATTTTTTGATATCACTAGAGCATCGGGGGCGGCCAGCCGCCCTCCCGGTAAACATTTCCATACCACTGGTAATAACCTCCTCTCCTGTCTCACATTATACAATTCTTAGCTTCAAGGACCTGAACCGGGGCCTCCCTCCACCTGTCATTTTTATTGTGCCCCCCACTACGCTCACCATGTTCCCAACACGTAGACGATCATCATTGATAGAACACAGCGTGTTGATATCACATGGGTATTGTATGTGTCCTCAAACATTGTCTTGTCTAGAGCCACCCGTCAACGTTGCACAACTACGGCAGGAACATTGAACTCATGTATCTGTCCCTAGACCACCTGTGCCCTAGACAGATGCACAATCTGAAATTATATGTTGGCAGTTCCATCAAAATCCCGCCTCCTGGTCATTACACGCCCTCAACCTATGGTTGTAGCCTGGTCCAACAAAGACTCGGCCACACCAAAGTCAATGTTGACATTCACATTGCCCCGGTGTGCACCATGAGGACGTTATGATATGGTCATTCATCTTGCACTATCACCCTGGTCATTAGAAATGCATTCTTGGTTGTCATGATTGTATGAGTGCCATTCATTACAATTGTCAAATTGAGCATGTCAAAATTGCTATTGGTAGCAATGCATTTACTCTTGTAAGCCCGCCGTCTTTGCATAACCTGTGTTTCAGCGCCCAACTGCAAGCATGTGTCAAATATGCTTGCCACAAATCCCTGTTAACTTACTGCATTGCCAACCCAAAATATGCCGGTTAACGACATTGGCAGATAGCCTCCATTGATCATCATAAGCTGATTATGTGGATGCATCATGTTGCTATTGTGAGTACTGCATCAAGGTTAAGTGTTTGCTGTGCAACCCATTACGTCAGAGCCCAGCGTTCATACCATCACACTGCTTCCTTGGACAACCTGGAGTGTCAATCCCTGTGCACAGCCCTGACCCAATGAATGTCCCTGGGCATTGACTCCATCACTTGATGCTGAACGCACATTACAACAGCACAATATCACCATAATCACCCAACACTCCTTCCAGTCCAAAACAGCCAAAGAGCAAAAACAATACCAAACTCAACATTGTGTCCAACATGACCATGGCACCTTTTGACACCGTACTACATTTGAAATGGAGCGGTATTTTCAAGCTTGGCTTGGAGGTATACCAAGTTCTATTTCCACTACCTCATGTATGCTAATTGTTCAGACCTGTATCATCATGAATCAATCCCCATCACCTTTTCCCTTCTTGCTTGTTGTTCCTGACAATGACACAGTCTTAATCCAACATCATCACTACAACCTTGCAGGCTTCATCATCATCTCCACTGTCCAAGGCAACCTCATCACATATTCTGACCACACAGATATACTCCTGATGCCCCGTCTATACTCCATTGCATTGAACTCAGCCGGGGGACATGACTGCTGATCAAGCCCACAGTTGTTTGACCCGCCTGTGGCAAAGCCCGCCAATACTATCTGGTAACGGTGCTTGGATGGCAATGCTTACACACCTGGCATGTAACATTTCCGTGAGTACTGACATTCAAAAGATACCATCTCACACCTGATTTGTTTCTTCAGTTGGCTTGCAGTGCAGATTTCTGCAGTGTGTACATAGTGCCCCTATCCCTGATGCAACAACATGATCATGCCCTATTCAGCCTCGGTAATGTGCTCAATGTTCAAGGTCACATCAAAAAATTCACTGGCAATGCTATGTATTGGACAAATTCTTCTCACATTATTGTTGCTGACCTGATCCCAGTTGCACAGTGCTACATTTTCTGGCACCGTGCATGCATGATCATAGCAACACCCATGGCAGAAAATCTTGCCAACACATTCTTTTTTTAGGCCGGAAGCTTATGACAACCATAATTGTGTTCTCCCCAAGTGGCCAAACTGCTATGTTCACGCGCTTGTATAGAGTCAGCACATTGCTATGTTGCAATTGGTGCATAGCCGTGTTGGCATTGACTTTGACGGAGTTGTGGCTTGCAAGATCTATGTCTCAGAGGCCTAAGGAGAGCAAATTAGTACATGTGCACACTTGATTTGTAGCGAGTTAACTTACTTTGATTTCCCAAGTGTTGGTTTCAAAGTGATGACCAATGACATGACCGCAAAGACTGATTAAAGCTGTTGTAAGATCTACTGGCAGATTTTTCGAAAAAATTGTCATCACCAGATTTAACTTTTGAAGTCAAACACTCAAGATTATGTCACTTTCAGAGTGAACTCTATTTTCCTGGTACAGAGTGGATAAATGGGCAGTAGAGTTATCAATCTCAAAAGGGCTTTCCCAAGTTTTTGACCTCTACATTAAATCTAGCAGCAACACAAAGCTCTCAAAATCTGCCAATAGAATGCAGCATCATACCTTCCTTGGTCTTGGGTGATTGGCAGTATATGCTACTTGAGACACATGACATCAACTTTGTCTAAAAGATGTTTCTAAAACTGTTGTACACAAAAATATGATACGATTCTTTAAACCAAAAAACAAACTATTTCAAACATGGCGACCGTAACATTGATTGAATGTTGTAAGTGACATCACAGAGATGTGAAAATGATCAAAGCTTAAACCTATCTTCATGGCTGAATAAGAGTGAATAAGAGCCAATTAAACCGTGCTCGTTCACAATGCCAATAACAATATCCATCCCACAGCAATCTCACACCTCATGTTCATCTAGCTCGGCTCTTTCCGCGTAAATCTAGAGTTTCAGTGTGACCATTTGTTTGGGAAGGTGCAGTAGATTGACTTGTGTGAACGGTACCATTAGCTTCTTGCTTCTTTGATTCCATTGTTGAAGCAGCAACAGCACTCCATTTGGTCATGGTATACACTACACAAAATCTAATGTATTCCGGACAGATTTCTAAAATCTTCTTAATACAAAAATGTAGATTACAAATTACACAAATACTTTCAATACCAAAATATTCCACGTAGATATGAGACATAATAGAATGTTGAAATGAGAAACATTCTGGTAAACCACTTGGGTATTCGCAGGTGGGTACGCGTATACAGATTTTGAAGGAGATTTGGCAGTTTTTAGAAATTGATCAGATTACAAAAAGGGATCCAAGATTCCATTACATAATATTGTTTTGGATCTACTGTCGTTTTGGTGCCATTGTATGGTTGAACATTTCCAATCACCTTGCCCTAAGAGTAAGTAAATTGTTTCCCACTTCCTGTTACATAATCTTCCTCCGGAGAAGACCAAGATACACGCCGGCATGTATTGCAAATAAAGAAACCGCAGGAAAGTTTTGCGTAACTGCTAACTTGATGGTGATCGGTATATAATGATCTTAACAACAAATTACCGGATGAGTTTATAATCACAATCTGATTAAGATAACACACCGTGATGATCACCGCATGATCAAGTATTAAGCATTGACACATATATGCGCTGAATGATATGTAGTCAATGGATTTAACAAGTCATGCTAATATGTTGTTGTAACCCCAATTTTAAAGTTAGTGATCAACACAATATCCTTTGTGTAGTAGTGATTTGTTTTGTAATCCACCTACAATTATCATGAACCAAAGAAAGGATCCGGCCACACCACCACGTTACCGCCGTCAACTCGCCCCACAGCGAGTCCACTGCAAGCACCAGTCAGCTTCAAAGGACTCTCCTTTTTGAAAACAAATTCTCCTTATGTATATTTAAACGTTCTCTGATCATTAGTTCAGGAAATCGGTTACTCTTGCAGACTTTCTCCCCTGAGTGATTGATCCTCAATCACTCAAGTAATCGTTTGGTTTTGCGAGTACACAATCAAGTTTGGGCTTTATCGTGTAAGTCCAATCTGATTTCAGTTCATGTCTTGCTATCCTGTTCGCAAACTTACTTGGTATTGTGAATCAGGATTGATTCTATTCATCCGAAATTGTCTCTTTTAATTATTCTGTGTGTTCCGTGACGATCCCTCATCATCACGTACGTCTAGAATTATCGGCTTTCATCTTTTGTAGCTCTTGAATTGACTAGACTGATCAACAATGTTTGCAGGTGCTTGCTAAGATGACGAAGTCGAAAAAAAAGAGCGGCAATTCTCCTGGTGTTACTCCTTCAAGTTCTAGCAAGAATGACCCTCACGGTTCGAAGCCAGGCTTTGGAAACCCTGAGGATTCAAAGTCAGGTGTGACAAACTCTCAGGGTCCGCCTCTACCACCAGGACCTCCGCCACCTCCCCTACAATCTTCAATCCCATTTCAAAAGAACGAGGTCCTGAACGAGACTTGGTACAAGCTTCAATCAATGACCAGTGGAATGCGTAAATTTCTTGAGCACGACTTCGATGAAAAGTGGCAAGAGGTCAAATGTGACGACTACTACCGGATCCTCATACACTTCCATCCCGAGACCAAATCCCGACCAGACCACAAGAAAAGCCTCCTCTACAAAGCCTTTAAGGATGATGTAGCCCCCATCTTACAGCCATACAAGCTACCCGCGCCGCCGGCCCCTATGCAGACCAAAAATTCAGTTCGGAAAGATTTCAACCCACTTAGCCGACGAGTGAAGCGAGAACAACTTATTACTGTGATTCTCAATGTTTGACCTGAGACTACAATCCCATCGGATGCAGACATTGGAAGCTTACTCTATTTGTATCGAGAGCATGTGGATAAAGACCTTCAAATACCTGGTGATACAGAATATGTCCGATAACCAAACATTGTAACTCGTGAGATGGTCAAAGATCTCTTAAAGGAAGAGCTCCGAATGAGTTTGCAAGATCAAGCTCCCCACGTGTTTATTCATTCAAGAGCAATGAATCATCCAGCTCTAGTGAATCTCTACATCAAATTTGTTTTAGATGAAGAGGTTGAGCCGGGTATGTTGGTCCGTGGTTTTCACTATTCGCTTCTTCGCAAGAAGCCTTGATTAAACACTTGTTTAACAAATGTGGTTAGTACATTTTGGTTTTTGTCAACCCCTTTTTTGTTTCATCAACTCTGCTGACGCCGTCTTGCGATTGATTGCAGCCTGCAGTGTCCCACCAAACGAGTTTGAAGCCTCAATCTTTCACTCAGTCAGGTCCAGTTCATCGAAGAATATAGTTAATGGGGTACAGACCACAAAATCAAAACTTTCAATTCTTGATTTATTTAAATTTGATAGTACAAACATGATATTCGACTGTAGCTTGTCTAATTTGAAGAGCTAATTATCAGTCACGTTTATCCGGACTCGTTGGTTGGAGCATGTTTAGCTTTCTTATCTCTGATTAGTCTTTGTCTCGTGTTTCAACTTTCATCTTTGTAAACTAGTTCTTTTAGCCAAAAGGTTTCATCTATTTCTTGAATGCGACTTATGAATTATCCTGGAATGTTTCAATTGATTATTGTATCCCTCCCTATAACATATTTCTTTCTGATAGGAAAATTTGTTAGCCTCCAAACGTGAAATTCATCTCTTTCTCTCATGCCTCCAAAAACCAACCGGAGCAACAATCTTCATCGTGTTACCTGTTGCTGCCGTATCTATAAGTGTTATCAGGGAAAGTACCAAGATGCATATGGCGTGACTCAACGGGGTGTCGAGCTTCTACCAGAGGCATTTAGGAACCATCAATTAGCGGAAGAACGAGAGAAAGCAATCTCTAGCTTTCCTCTTCAACCAAGAGGGCAGACTTCTCAACATCCTCTGACCGAAGTCCACGAAGATACCCTTTTGGAGCCTCTCACACGCTTGAACTTGACTTCTGAATTGTCAAGACCGATCAATCATCATGCAAGATCCTCAAGCATAGAACACGAAAGCAATCAAATACATGAACCATTAAATAGCTTGTTCTTCAATCAAGCTTTGTTGCGCGCTCCTCCGGAATCTCCTCCGCCGTCCTCTGGAGTTTGCTTGGCAGCTTTGAAAGCACGAGATCAAGGAATCCTGAAAGTGTATGATTGTGGTGAGCTTCTGCCTTTATAACACACTTATCCATTTCAGGATGTACCAAACTTATTCTACAATTCTACAATTCTAAACCATTTATACAGAGCGGTTCCACACATTTACGCTACAGAATATCAATCCGCTGCTACTTCAAGTTGCCCTAATGGCGGCTCTTTTGAGTATCTTTGGGAACATATCGATGTCTACCGCATCGTGGTTTTTGGATTGTCTGAAAATAATAATTGAATTGGCTCTTACGCATGGAATCAATCCTCTTCACTCTCCTACAGCTTTGAGGCCATCTGATGTGACAAATTTGTGTCGGATTCCCAAAACAATTACCACTGTGATTTCATGGTTAAAACTTGATCCATATCTTATTGAAATGAACTGTTGTCAAGCATGCTTTGCCTTGTGACCACTAGAACATACCCCAAAAAACTGTACTCATCAAGTTTCTCAAATTCCCGGAGGACCACCAGATCAGATCAACCCAAATACTCACAAAACATCTCCAGTTCAAGACTATGTACCCGATATTTCAGAGTTTTCAAAAAGAACTTGTGGTCAATTACTAACCAAAGTAACAAGAGGCAAATCAGTTCCTGTTCGAAGATTTGCCTTTCAAAGTCTTTAGGAATGGATCGCGCGCTTGCTTTCTCGTCCTGAGATTGAAACATTACTAGACAAGTCATTAGTGGAATCTCGCAGGCCGTTTGATCGGAATAAGCCAATAAAAGACATACACGAAGCGAAAATCTGGAAACGCTTTAAAGGTCCAGACGGCAAGCAATTCACCGCAACAAGTGGCCATTTAACATTTGGGATGTTCATTGACGCAATTAACCCCTATGGAAATAAAATCAGCGGACATCATGCATCAGTTACATTTATTGTCATGGTCTGCCTGACACTTCCTATAAATATTCGGCACCGACCTGAGAATGTTTTTGTTGTTGGTATCGCACCTGGACCCTCTGAACCGTCCTTGGAGCAAATGAACTGGATTTTACTTCCAGTGGTGAACGAGCTCAGAGCATTATGGAACCCGGGACTACTCCTTTCAAGAACTCATCTTTACAAATCTGGGCGTCTTGTACGAGCTGCTCTGCTGATTTTTATAGCTGATATACCAGCTCTTCGGCGCTCATTGGGTTTTCCAAGTGCAACAGCCATGTTCTTTTGTTCAAAATGCCTGATCACTAAAAACGACATTGAAAATCTAGATAAAACAAAATGGTCAGCCCGCACATGCGCTCAGCATAAACTCTGGGCATTTGAGGCTCGTGACTCAAAGACTGTGAAGGAGCGACAACATATATTCAAGAGCCACGGTGTTCGTTACTCAGTACTGGTGGAACTCGAATATTGGGACATTATAGAATACCATTCCACTCTCTCACTAGCGATATCTACGAGGTTGGCTTGTAGATAGTCACACCTATGGTAGTATCATTTTAATTACTCATCATAAGGTATGTAAAGTCTTAACAATACTGTCACAACAGGTCCTAGGCAGACGTAGAGGGTTCGTAATGAAAACTCTATGTCTCTTGGGGGGGGCCCCCGGCCTCAGACGGGGCCGAGGGAGGTAGGACCGCCGGTACAGCAGATGGGGAGTGCTTCCCCTATGACTCGGGGCCCAGCCCTGAGCCTGTGAACTCCCACCTGCTGTGTCCCGCGTCATATCACGCCCTCCCACATTACGTCAGTCTTCAACTTCAACGACCTCTCCACCTCAATCGGCGTCTATCACAGCAACTGGCCACACATCCTGATTCCTCACGCAATCAATCACTAGCGCCGACTTCACCAGCATAATAACTAAACCTGGAGGTTCTCCAGCAACTTTATCGTTTCTAATAAAACAGTCCTCCGTCGTACTCCCTAATATACAACTGTAAGCTTTGACTTCCAGCGGCCAACGGCAACGTAGTCTCTTCTAAAGGATACTCAGATCCACCTCAGGGAAGCACCGCCGACTCGGAACGAGTGGCCCGTAAGTTTACATCCTGCCTGATCTTTCCACACGTTGTCGAAGATCTTCTGACACCTCGACTTTATCAACGTTATTTGTTTGCTTCCGGACCGGTAGGAAAACAGGGGGTCGTCATCCGTCGCATCCGTATCTTCTATTAGCCGACGTACAGCTGCGACAGGGTCTAATATATTCGACTGGTATTGACAATGTATTTCCTGGATTTCGCCCACAGCTGCTGTTTTCGCCGCACAAATCCTGATCTTTGAATAACGACCATTCGGATCCCACACTAAATCCTTCACTTTCACCTGATCTACTACGCTAGACAACTTCACCAACTCTCCAAGCCTTGCCATCCCCCAAAAGGCGACCAAGGCAACGGTGTAAGCCACCTGGCTCTCCATATTTCCTTCCACTAACTTCTCCACCAAGGTAAACAAGTGTTTTATTAACACTGGATCTTTCTTCGCCTTCGGTTCAGACAGTAGCTCGATCCTCTTTGCCGCCGTTAAGATCGCCTCAATTCTCGGAGTCACGTTGTGCGGGTATTCGAAATTGTGGAAAAGATGCCATGCCTTCACTCCAGACAGGTAAGTTTGGATGGTGTTCGATTTAATTGGTATCGGGTTCTGATCCAGGACCACTTCCGGTATTTTGGGCCCTGCCCAAACTACGAAGTTACACAACACCTTCGGGTCAATCGGAAGCAAAGAAGATCTTGGTATGTCTTTCTCTGTCGCATAAGCTATTAACTTAGAAACGCCGGCATTATAGTGTTTTATCGTCAACTCTGACCAACTTCCGCTTTTAATGTAGATCTTTACGTAATCGGTGTCTGTGTCGTTTAGGCCATCTCTTCCCTTTAGGAACTCCATAACTTTGTCGATGAGGAACAGTAAGCGATATGGAAGGACTATGAACTGAAACGTGGAATAAATTGAGTTGGTTTTAACTCTCTCAAATTTCTCTCACAGTTACTCCGGGTTAACAGCTCGACCCGGCCAGCCCTCGGGCCACAGGAAACCGTCAAACACAGGTAATCAATTGCATTTCACAAAACTTGTTTCACGATCGATCGTAAGTCCAAAGGGACCTCTATTTTCACCATATCATCTGCCTTTCTCTTATCCTTCCCTCTCGACAGAAGGTCTGCTAGGTTATCATCTGTCTTCACCCGATGGGCTACCACATCACAATGTAAGAGTTCCAGCAATTTCTGCAACCTTTTCCATTCCTCGTTTACCATGATATCCTTGGATTTTTTCTTGTCCACCGCGGATTGAGATGTAGTATTATCTGTCAATACTAACAACGTTTTACCTTTCACCTCATAAAACTCATTAATCAGAATTAACCCCAGACGAATCGCGACTGACTCAGCCCACGCGATGGTACGCCTACCTCTCGCCGTCTTCTCAGTGTCCCAGCCGTCTGCCAAAGTAAATTGCGCCCATTTCGCACCTACCAGGACTCCTATTCCTTTCATCGACGCATCCCCTACCCACTCTAAGTCTACAGGAACTTGGTCTGGAATGATTCGTCTAGGTTTTAGTGTCTTCAACACACACTGCCATTCTATTAAGTCTTCTCTAACATCTCTTGGCACCCTTCGCTTTGCTGATGCCACTTGCCATTCCTTCTCCCACCGATAAAGACTCGACAGATAACATTTTAAATGAGGAAC